TGATTACATGGTGCTGAACCTGCGCAGGTTCTGTAGCCATAGGGACATCACGGCTTGCCTGACCCTCACCTCACTGTCCAGGGTAGGCAAAAGACGGTCATTAGTGAGTGTGCAGGATGTGTGCACACAGTTCTAGTGTTTCTTACACTTCTTTATTGTGGTTTTGTGTTGCTAAAATTTCAGTGTATAGTTAGACACTTAATTTATGATGGGACTAACATAGGCTGTTTGTTTTTCAGAGTCTTCCTTTTTGAACTTCCATGAGTCTGACTGTGAACCTAAAGGATCCCCTTCCTGTGACTCCTTGCTTTCTCTCAACACTGAAAAAATTCTGGTATGTATCCTCTCTCCACCCCTCCTTTTCCTGTGTGCACCACCGTGTGTGTGCCAAAGGCAGAGATCGCCTCTCATGCTGATTAGGAGTTGGGCAAAAGATAAGGATTGGTCATTCAATATTTGGTCAGTTGCTATGACTTAGGAGTTCTATAGTTGGTCATTTTGGATCTTTGACTTTAGGCTAGAAGGAGTACAGGAGAGGTCATAACCAGATTTTATTTTTAGGGGTCTGAATTTGCAGATATTATTTTATTTTTCCAGCTTTTTTTTTTTCCTGCCTATCCTGGGGCTTGAACTCAAGGCTGGGTGCTGTCCCTGAACCTCTTCATGCTCAAGGCTAGTGTTCTACCACTTGAGCCACAGTACCACTTCCAGCTTTTTTGAATAGTTTATTGGAGACGAGTCTCACAGGAACTTTTCAGCCTGGGCTGGCTTTGAACCTCAATTCTCAGATCTCAGCCTCCTGAGTAGCTAGGATCTTTTGTAGCTTTGTGTGTGTGTGTGTGTGTGTGTGTGTGTGTGTGTGTGTTAACTGCTCTGTAAAGGAACTCCTTCACTTGGGGGCTGAGGGCCTGGAACTGGCTTGTTCTTGTGAGCACACCTGCCGTGTGTCTGCTTGTCCGTGTTGATGTGTTTTCCTCTGGCCTGCGGCCTTTTGCTCACACCTAACTGAAGTAGAGCTCTTGTGTGCCCAGGGCTAACGCTGCTCACCATGCCTGTCCTCTTGATATTTCCATAGATTTTGCTTATGGATTTCTTGACAGTACTCACTGTTCTTCAGAGCTTTGCCTTTCCTGTTGGAACTGTTGAAGGTGCTTACAAGTTGCAAACAAGAGAAAGACCCACTGTTTTTTCCAGGCTCACTGCCTAGCAGTCAGCTGGATTATGTGCACAAACTTTTGCATTAAATGTCCTAAATCACTACAAGTGTTCAGGTAGAAACTAGATAACCCTGCAGTTAGATTCTCAGGAGTTCTGAGAGCCCTTCTTCTTGGTAGTGATTTAAGTGGTTCCTTGGGTCACGTTTCCTGTTTCAGAGAGTACTACTGGGCTGAGTGTCGTGGTGCATTCCTGTAATCCTAGCACTCAGGAGGCTGAGGCAGGACAATCAGGAATTTGAGGCCAGCCTGGGCTACATAGCTTGGGATCCATCTTGGCTGTGTGGCAAGAATCTTTTTAAAATGTAAATTGATGAATGAGTGAATGAATGAATGAAAGAATGAACAAAAAAAGAGTGAACTATTGACATGTGATGTGGTCCTGTCCCACCATATGGCACTAGTAGGTGGCACTGGTCGGTGCTGCACCTTGAGGAAGGCTGATGGGCTCCGTCCGGGCAGGCTGCAGGGGGAGCTTCTAACCATGGGGGTGGCCTGGAAGTGGGACGCGTAGATGTATGTCAGCTTTCTGGAGGGGATGGAGTAAGACGTGAGCTTCCTGGTATGGGCACTCTCTGCCTTGTGTCCTCCCGTTTGTGGCTTGTGTTTTTATGAGCTAGCTCACTCTTGACCTATTTGCAAACCGGTACCTCTCTATTTGAACATTAACTTTGGATTGTGAATGGCAGTACTTTGTAACTTACTGTTTGGATCCCTGAGACCAGGTGGCCGCGGTGGCTGGCCTTCTTCATGCTGCCTGCATATACATTAGCCAGAAGAGGGCCTGCTGAGTCATTCCTCCACTGCCTGCCCGTGGACTCCTGTCCTGCAGCTCTCAGAAAAGAAGAATCCATAGATGGCTGGCCACTTGGTTCTGTCCTCTAAATTCAGAGTGTCATTTTCAGGGAAATGGTCCTAGAGCAAATGATGTTAAATGAGGTAAGCCAGGCTCAGAGAGACAAACAGCACAAGCTTACTCTCATTTATGGATGTTATATCTAAAATACAACTAGGCATGATTACAGGGCTCTATGCATGTACACACAAACAAAAATTGGCTAAAGGAAGTATACCAAAGGAAAGAATCTGAAAGTGGCTTCTCCCTGACCCAGCTTTTCTTGAATACAAGTGTGAGTTAGTGTGAATCTTGAACTAGCCTGCTAACTCCGGTAGGGAGTTTGGACTTTACTGTGTTGTGTCAAGTTCCTGCTGACACTCAGAGGTTCTGGTGTGATGGCAGACTTGTGTCATCAGACCTAACTTCCTCCAAGACATGCTGGAGCCGCCACCGTGTCACAGACAGATGCAGTATGAGAACTACATCTGAACCCTGCCAGCGACTCTACCTTGCTCTCCTAGTTCCCCTTTGGGTTTTTTAGCTCTCCATTTGTCCGTGGGGTTTCATTGGAGCTCAGCCTGCTGCAGCTTTGGAACAGTCCTGTTCATGACTTGCTACGCTTTATTCAGTAGGATGTCTTGTTGCTTTGTCCTTTATGCCATCTTCTCTGTCCAGCTTGCACTTTGTGCTTCTGAAATATGTTTAGAGTTTAAAACCCAGTATTTTGCCAAGTGTGGTGGCATATTCCTGTAATCTTGGGTACTTAAGAGGTAAGAGGCAGCTATATATCTGACAAAAGCCTAATAGCCAAAACATACAAGGAGCAAGGAGCTAAGAGACTTACCCCCTCCCCAATTAATAACTTAATAAATAAGAAAGATAGCTAAATAGAGACTTCTTAGAAGTAAGAATGGCCAATAAACACTTGAGTAAATGCTCAACACCCTGGCCATAAAAGAAATGCAAATCAAAACCATGTTGAGATTCCATCTCACCCCAGGAAGATTGGCTGTCATCAAGAATTTGTACAACAAATGCTGGCAGGGATACAGGGGGATAAAGAAACCCCCACTGCTGGTGGGAATGTGAACTAGTACAACCATTCTGGACAGCAGTCTGAAGGTTCCTCAAAAACTAAGCATAGCTGGGTGCAGGTGGCACACGTCTGTGATCCTAGCTACGCGAGAGGCTGCGATTTGAGGGTCACGGTTCGAAGCCAACCCAGGCAGGAAAGTCCATGAGACTCTTATCGCCAATAAATTGCACTGTCGCTCAAAGTGGTAAAGCACTTGCCTTGAGTGAAAAAGCTCAGACAATGCCTGGGTCCTGAGTTCAAGCCCCATGACCAACCAAAAAACCTCACAAAACATAGAACTTTCCTATGATCCAGTTGTACCAGAGCATTACAAGCCAAGATACTGTAAAGACACCTGTACATCCATGTTCACTGCTGAACTATTCACAATAGCCAAGATAAGGAAACAGCCCAGGATGCCCTGTAACAGATGAGTGGATAGTTACACACAACAGAATTTGACACAGCCATCAGAAAGAATAATATGTCATTTTCAGGGAAATGGTCCTAGAGCAAATGATGTTAAGTGAGGTAAGCCAGGCTCAGAGAGACAAACAGCACAAGCTTACTCTCATTTATGGATGTTATATCTAAAATACAACTAGGCATAATTACAGGGCTAAAATTGGCTAAAGGAAGTATACCAAGGGAAAGAATCTGAAAGTGTAATTCCTAAACCACTGAAGGTACCTTCTATCAAATGGATGCCAGGAAGTGGAAACATGTTTTGAGGGTGCGAAGAGGGGCACAAGAGTGGAGGGAGGGAGGGTAAGCAAATGCAGTCACAGAATTCAGTGTACACCATGTGAAAAATGAGCCGTGCCTTGGTGGGTAGGGGTAAGAGGGGAGATGGAAGAAGGACGGAAGGGAGACATGGACTAAGAAGCACTGCGCTCATAACCTGACTCCTGGAGTTGTGGCCTCTTGTACAACTCCTTAGTAACAACAATGAAAAAGAGGTTGAGGAAGGATCACAGGTTTTTAAAAAAACATTCACTTTGGTAAATACTAGTTCATATGATCAGAGGCACAGAGCATTGCACCCTGGTGTTCCTCCCCTAAGAATATCCTTTTGGCTCAGTAGGATCACAAGTTTGAGATCAGCCTGGGCAAGTTAGTGAGACCCACTCCCCTATCATTAATATGACTTAAAGCAGATACTTTCTTGCTTTCATTTAAGCAAAATGTAACTTAAAAAATTTAAATACAGATTTTGGGCTGAGAAGTTGGCTTAGGGGCAGAGTGCTTGCCTAGCATGCATGAAGCCCTGGGTTCGATTCCTCAGTACCACATAAACAGAAAAGGCCAGAAGTGGTGTTGTTGCTCAAGTGAGCAAAAGAAGCTCAGGGACAGTGCCCAGGCCTGAATTCAAGCCCTAGGACTGGCAATAAGTAAATAAATAGCTAGCTATTGAATAGATTTTTAAATGCAGATTTTTAAATACATGCTTTTCCTTCATTAGTCAAGGTTATGTGTGTGTGAAAGAACATGTTTAAAGCCAGGCAATAGTGGTTTGGGCCTGTACATATAGCTACTCAGGAGGCTGAGAATTGTAGTTTGAAGATAGTTGGGGCAGAAAAGTTTATGAAATTCTTAGTCCAATTAACCAGTAAAAGGTAGAAGTAGAGGTGTGGCTCAAGTGGTAGAATACCAGCCTTGAATGGAAAGAAAAGAAGTCAGGTGAGAGCATGAGGCCGCATTCTAGCCTCAGTACTGCACAAAAACAAGAGTTATAAACACATACTTTATTCTTTTTTCTTTTCTCTTCTTTCTTTCTTTCTTTTCTCTTCTTTTTTTTTTTTTTTCCAGAGCCAGGCCAAGTCTATTGCAGAGCAAAAGAGATTCCCATTTGCTACTGATAATGACAGCACAAATGAAGAGTTAGGTAAGATTTGAATCTGGGAATGTTCTTGTAGTGTGTCTAGGGCTTGTGCTCAGATGTGATCAGGGAGGCAGGGAGGAGAGGGGGCAGAACATGGACAGGCTCTGCCATTGGGCCTTTTGGATCTTGCCCAGAAGTAGCTTGGACGGATGGTCAGTAAGGGCTTTAAGCCCTGCCTGCTGTGGAGATGGACGCTGGCTGTCATGGTCCCTGAGCAGTTTCCACTCCTCAGTGGCAAAGCATAAAGCAGCGAGTGCAGAGTCAAGCCACAGAACTGATGTGTGTGTGTGTGTGTGTGTGTGTACGCACCAGCCAGTACTGGAGCTTGAATTTAGGGCCTTATGCTCTCACATTTAGGCCAGTACTGGAGCCATACCACCACTTCTGCCTTTTTGCTGGCTAACTGGAGATGGGAATCTCACTTTCTTGCCTGGGCTGGCTTTGAACCATGATTCTCAGATCCTCGTCTCTGAATAGCTAGGATTATAGGTCTGAGCCACCAATGCCTTAGCTGCCTCAGTCTTCTTTGTGGTAAAATAGCCACATTTAACTTTATTCCCAAGGTGGGTACATAACTACTGGGCCTGAGGGTGTGCATGCAAAAGTGAATCCAGATGTGCACAGGAGCTTTGAGGTTGATCTGTTCGTGGCCCATTTATTTTTATTTTATTTTATGTTTTGTCCATCATGGGCCTGAGTGCTGTCCCTGAGCTCTTCAGCTCAAGGCTAACACTTTACCAGTTGAGCCACAGCGCCACTTCCAGCTTTTTCTGCTTATGTGGTGCTGAGGAATTAAACCCAGGGCCTCATGCATGCAGCGCATGCCCTTGTGGCCCATTTAAACACAGTCTGGCTACTGAGTCAGGATACTCCTGTGTCTGGGGAGCTTCCCGTGTCTGGGGCCCCCTGTGTCTGGGACCTCTCATGTTGGGGGCCCCCCGCATTGGGAGCATGCTGGCCAGGGCTGTGTTGCCGAATGAGACCACTCTTGCAGGCCACACTTGATGAGCAGACAGCCTGTGCACAGGTGACTGCAGGGATTTTTGCTTCCTCATTTGATCATTATGGTAATGGATGTGCTTTTTGTTGGCCCTGAGCCCTGCTTGCATCCTCTCCTTCCCATTAGTGCAGAGGAGAGCTGACATTTTGAAAGCACGTGTCACCTCTCTTTGTTGTTGTTTTTTTTTTTTTGTCAGTCATGGGGGCTAAACTTGGCCTGGGCCCTGCCCCTCAGCTCTTCAGCTCAAGGCTAACACTCTACCACTTGAGCCACAGCACCACTTCCGACTTTTTCTGCTTATATGGTGCTGAGGAATCGAACCCAGGGCCTCATGCATGTGAGGCAAACACTCTACCACTGAGCCACCTTCCCAGCCCCACATATCACCTCTCAGTGGTTGTCTTTGGGGAGTGTGGCAGAGCTTCATGAGGTCTTGGGAAGGCTGTGGCAGTGCATCGGACTTGGTTTTTCCTGAAGTCTTTGGAGCCTGTCCAGCCTTCTGGTGGTTAAATAATTATATGTGCCTGGTCTATTGTGTTCTCATGAAGAGTCCTGGTAGGCTGGGAGTAGCGTGGGTCCTGAGTTGGTTTAGGATCTTGTGTCACAGAGATTTTTACTTGCAAAAACATCTTTCAGCCAGGCATGGTCTTACCCACCCCTATAATTGCTGTTACTTGAGAGGCAGAGATCAAGAGGATTGCAGTGTGAAGTTCAGGAAACATATGCGCAAAAATAGAAGCCCCTGTCTAAAAAATAATAGAGCAAAAAGAACTCAAGTAGCAGAGTGGAGGTTCTGAGTTCAAAGCCAAATACTGATAAATCAGTCTGCCACTCACTGCCAACATAATTTGTTACCAGCAGATTTGAGTGGCTGGTTAGTGGAGATTTCTGTCAGAATTACAGTTACTGTAGTTTTTCCTTTATATCTTTGAATTTTATAGAACTTAGTTCACATAGTTGTCTGATATTTGGATTAGTGTCTTCTAACATTTTGTTTTCTCAAAAAATGTTTACTTTTAGATGGAAAGATTTGAGAATGTCATTTGATGTTTAGTGGAATTTAATAACCAAGTTATGGCTATTTAAAGATTTAAATATGTACCTAAAGCACAAAAATTTCACTATTGGTTTTTTTATACTTCTTTATTTGGTCAACAGATATGACTGATTGTAGGAAGATAAATAAGAAATTTGAGCAGTTTAGATCTGACAGGAATTTTGGGAGAGTATGAGACTTGAACTCAGGGCCTTGCCCTTGCTAGGTAAACAGCACTTTTTGCTTTGGCTGTTTTTCTAAAAGGTCTTAGGTTTATGCCAGGCTGTCAGCACCACTGTTCTCCTTATGTCCTGTTGAACAGCTGGTTGTACAGTTGTGCTCACAGACACACTGGCATACCAGCATTTACCAGCTGAGGTCAGATCTCGTCCAAGTTGGCTAATGCCAACCTGCAGTCCCCCTGAGTAGCTAGGATTATAGGTATGCACCATCTAGCCCAGCCTGAACGGTCTTAAATTTTTCTACTGGTTGGATTGGAGGCATGGCACAGGTGGTAAAGTGCCAGCCAGTGGGCAGAAGCAAGTGTCAGATAATGTGTTCCAGTCCTGCAGACGAAAGAAAGAAAGACAGACATTTCTTTTTTTTTTTTTTTTTTTCTCTCTTTTCTTTTTTTTTTTTTCTTTTTTTTTTTTTTTTTTCCAGAGCCAGGCCAAGTCTATTGCAGAGCAAAAGAGATTCCCATTTGCTACTGATAATGACAGCACAAATGAAGAGTTAGTGCTGAGGAATCGAACCCAGGGCCTCATGCATACAAGGCAAGCGCTCTACCACTGAGCCACCTTCCCAGCCCTGCTTGTAGTGTTTTTTATGGCTTTTACCATCAGGGAATGCAAGCTCTTAATGCCAGTGGATGTGATAGGTACCCAGCCACTGGATATAGAATTATAGCTATCGTAACAGTAGAGGTTTTTTTTTTTTTTTTTACATTTTTTTATTTTTAGCAAAGAAATGTGATCAAAATAGTCATGTGGAGTTGAGGATAAAATGTTTTTCAAGAATTTTAGGGAACTGAAGCCTAGAATATTCTGATGTATTGGTTTTTATTAGAGGGATGAGCTTTGTCAGATTTTTTACCATGCTGTAAGATTTTATGGTTCCTGTTCTCAAATGGCACTTTCCTAAACAAGTCATCTTTAGTGCCTCTTTTGGGTTGTGTTTTGAATAGAAAAAAAATTAGAAAAAGGCAGTGGTTGCATTGCTGAATTGGCCACAGCTCACCATTGCATCAGGGCATATTCATTTGACCTCTCATTTCTGTTCTTGCTAGGTAATTGACTCACAGGAATTGGGAATTGTGGTATTTCTCACAGTTTATCACAATACCACAATTGTGGTATTGTGGGCATTTCTCAATGTCATATAGACATCATTCAAGCCCATCACCAGTTCTTGAAATAGAGACCAGAGACATCCAGAGGTTCTCGGGGACCTGCGGGTGATGAGCTCAGGAAGAGTTCAGTGCTTGTGGCAGGCAGATGTTTACAGTGGACAGCAGGTGCTGGCTGGGTGGTGAGGGAGAGTTCAGCGACATCTCTTTTTCTTTCACTGCCTCCCAGTTCTCTTTAACTGTGTCTAGTTCTTGGAGATATCACAAAGGTTTGTTAGTGATTCTTGTTTAGACCTCTTCCTTCTTCCCTCTAATATTTTTGTGTTTTGTTGCACAGCTATTGCTTATGTGTTGATTGGCAGTGGTCTCTATGATGAAGCAATACGACATTTTTCAACAATGCTTCAGGTAATGTTTCTTCTCCATTGTGTAATTTCAAGTATATAATCATGGCAAAAAAACGGGGACTTGCACCCATCTGAGGATGTAGGAGGGGGAAGGGAGTGCGGCGCTGGTGGGGTGCAGGGCATGCAGGGTTATGTTGTTCTAGGAGAAGGAGTTCCATCTCCAGAGGTCACATGATGCTCCCCGCCTGCAGGCAGTGGGCGTGCACCCACCTGCAATGGTGGTGAGACTGTGGCTTTGTCACTCTCCTCTGCAATGGAGCCTCCACTGAGTGTGGCGACACTGCAGTGCTGAATTCCCGCTCTTCCCTGACAGGATTGGCAGGCAGACTCAGTTTCTCCTCATGGGTTGGCTCCTTTCTGAACACGTGATTGTGGGATTCCTCAGTGGAAGGATTGGCCTCTGTGGACTGGTGGCCATGTGGAAGTCCACTTAAGAGAGAAGGAAAGCGAGTGCTTTACTTACGAAAATGCCTGGGATGCAGGGAATGCTTCTCCTTTCCTCCTGTCTCTCTCTTACATTATGTTCTTACAGTATACTAAAATAAGTCCTTGCTGAAACTTTAGAAAGCGGGAGGGAGTAGGGGTGAAAATGCAAGCCTGCTATGGTGATGCATGACTAATCCCAGCAGGAGGGAGTCTGAAGCAGAAGCATGGTAAGTTCAAGGCCAGCCTGTCTCAAACATAACAAGGCCCTGTCTCAGAAAACAAAAACAAAAAAAGCATAGCAAGACCTTGTCTTGGAAAAGAATGAACAAATGGAAAAAAGAGAAAGAGAGGGGTGGAGAAAGAGGAGAAGGCGGGGTAACCTGTAAGTGTGCCTGTCTGTACCTGTTAGGAGGAAACCTGACGCAGCGTGATGTTGAAGGCCTTCTGCCCCTGTGGCAGAAGCCATGTTTGGTGTAGGGGTCCACAATTTTTCCATGCTGGTGTGTCTGTCCAGAGCACTTCAGTGATGAAGACATGGGATTTGTGTGTGTGTGTTTAAACTCAAGGCCTCACATTCTTGCCCGATATTCTTTTTTTTTTTTTTGGGTCCGGTCGTGGGGCCTGAACTCTGGGCCTGGGCGCTGTCCCTCAGCTCTTCAGCTCAAGGCTAGCGGTCTACCACTTGAGTCACAGTGCCACTTCCGGCTTTTTTCATTTTGCTTATGTGGTGCTGAGGAATCGAACCCAGGGCCTCAGGCATGCAAGGCAAGCGCTCTACCACTGAGCCACCTTCCCAGCCCCTCTTGCCCGATATTCTATTTATAGCCTGGGTCTTGACCACTGGGGGCATGCTGCCAGTCCAGCATTTTGCTGATTAATTGTAGATAGTGTCTGTGAGACTTTTCTGCCTGGGCTGGCTTTGGACTTTGATTTGCAGGGCATACCTGTATTTTAGAATTAATCAAGTTTGAACCCACTTTTGCTTTCTACCATATTATTTAACCTAATAGAGTATGGGTATAATAATAATGACTTTTAAATGCCGCAGGGCACTTGGTGCCCAGTGTGTGGTGCAGAGTAGTGGCTCAGAACCATCCTAGCACATACATGAGACCCAATAATCCAGAAGATTTAATTTAAAGAATTAATCTTGAAAGTTTAGCTCTGCCTTTTTTTTAAGGACTGTACTATAATTCTTCAATAAATTGATATTTTCAGTCATTACTTTGAGGTCCTCAGATCAAATGGGGGGGCGGCGTTTAATTTGGAACGGTCTCCCTTTGTGGCACTTGAATTACAAAGGCAGAAGTGCCTTTTTGTTACACCGCAGTGGGCCCAGGCTCAACACATTTGTAGGAGCAGGTATCAGTTAAGTCATGGTACTGATAGATGTAATGCATCACCATTTATTCACCATCTTGTACACACGTCGTTGTTAAAGAGAAAAATTCAATAAGGGATGTCCTAGCTAGGCCTGGCAGCATCCGCCTGTGATTAGTGCTCTGGGAGGCTGAGGCAGGTTCAGGAGTCCATGGCCAGCCAGCCTGCATAGCAAGACCCTGACTCAAAAAAGAATTCCCAGGTCTCCTTTAACATTTTCAAACTTTTATTTTGTGTGTATTACCTTTTGATGTTCTAGCTGTATCCTAGCTACCCTTAACGTGTTTGCTATATATCTTGTATTCTTCAGTACACGGAATGTTTTTCACTATTTCCCTATGACTTGGATCTCAGTAGCTCTGGGCTGTGCCTCTCTGTTGCCCATTTAGCGCCGTGGGACACGCTTCTCTTGCCATTGCATTCTGAAACTTCCTTAGTTTCTCTTTCTGTACAAAGGTAGTACTGTGCTGACATTGGACACAGGATCGTCACCAATCAGAGTACATGGATTGTAAGGTTGGACTGCTTTGCCCAGTGGAGGCAGAGGTCACTTCAAGGTTAATTGAAAAGAAAGGTCCTTTGTATTGTGTTGTAGCAAGAGAGCTTTCCCACTGCTGCTTTTCTTGTCGAATCTCTTGATACTTATCAGCCGTTTCCCTATCGTGTTGCATAAGGAAAATCATGTTTGTGTGTGACAACAGGTGAGCAGGGGTAGAGGTGGGGCGTCTGCATAGAAGCAGAAACAATTTGTCACACTTTATTTATAGTGTATGGTTATAAGACATAGAAAACATAGTCAATAATAAGTGCTACTTTCTTTTTTAAAAAATAAATAAGAAGCTTCTCCTTTATTCTGGGTAAATTTGTGTGTGCATGTATGTGCCTGTGCCTGTACCAGAGCTTGAACTCAGGGCCTCATGCTCTCACTTGGCTTTTTCCTTCAAGGCTGAGACTACCTGCCACTTGAGCCACACACCCACTTTTGGCTTTTTGCTAGTTTGTTTGAGATAAGAGTCTCATGGGATTTCCTGCCTGGGCTGACTTGGTGCCACAGTTCTTGGTCTGAACTTTTCTGAGTAGCAAGGATACAAGTGTGAGCCACTGGAATCCATCTGGCTCTGGATAAACAGTTGCTGTTTTCTTTTCTTTTTTCTTTTTGTCGGTCGTGGGGCTTGAACTCTGGTCTTGGGCACTGTCCCTGAGCTCTTCAGCTCAAGGCGAGCGCTAGTGGTTTAGTGGAGATAAGAGTTTAATGGACTTTCCTGTCTGACTGGCTTTGAACTGCAACTCAGATCTCAGCCTCCTGAGTAGCTGGGATTATAGGAGTGAGCCACCGGTGGTGCCTGGCACAGTTGCTGCTTTCTTTAAATCCCTGTAGTCAGTATCCTGAAGGTGCTGTGCCAGCAGGTGGCAGCGAGTGGCCAAAGAGCTGTCAGTGCGCCTCTTGACCCAACCTGTTCACAGTGGCACGACGTAAGTCGTGAAAACATCTTCTCAAACTATATCTGGAAAGTGTGATTACCCTACAAAACCAATGGCTTCTCCTGTGTTTTACTAGCAAGTGCAGTTTAAATTTCCTGCAGCGATGACGGTGATTTTTCTTACCCCTGTGATAGTTCGTCCAATCCTCAGGCATGTGTAGGAGTCTCTCTGCTACTGTTCACTCTAAGTCATCACTGGAGAGGTGTTTGTGTCAGTGCCAATACTAGTGTAGCAGGACCTCCAGACGTGCAACGGTAGCACCTGTAGCATATGTGCAGAGTGATAATGGTGCCCCCCCCCACACTTGTGGTTTTCTTGAGTTCATATATTTCATCATATTCTTCCTCCCGGGAAATCCTGGGCTACATCCAGCACGAAGCCACGAGCAGACGAAAGCTGACAAGTGGGACTAGGTGGGGCTTGGGTTTTATTATTTATTTGTGTGTGTTCATGCATGTGCATGTGTGTGTGAGCCTGTGTATGTACATGCACATGTGAGTGTGTGCCTATATGAGCCTGTGCATGCAAGTTAAGTATGTGTGTGTAATTGTGTATGTGTTGTGAGTGTGCGTGTATGTGAATTGGAAGCATATGAGTGTGTGTGTGTGTGCGCTCACACACACAGGTACTGACGGGGGGCTAGGACTTGACCAAGGCACTGTGGCCACATCTCCAGTCTGGAATTTTGCCCATTAATGGGAGATTTGAGTTTTACATACTACCTGATCAGGTAGCTGGGATTACACGTATAAGCCACTTAACTGCACCTGGTTATTAAACATCAACTGTGGGATTGCAGTCTACATATGAAAGCTACTTAAAGCTCAGGTATACTATATGTTGCAGAGCTTGTCTGCCTCTGTTGTCTTGGCTGCACCATCAAGGTATGCCGTAATGACGTATTGACCTCTGAAGTGGTCCCCAATCCCCGGCGGTCTCATCTGCCCCTGTGACACTCCTCAGCAGTGCCCTGATGTCACTTGAATGGTGTCCATGCAGCACATCAGTGTTCTTGGTTATCATCTGTGGTGCTAGTCCTGTACTGCTTTGTTCTCTGCAGGGTTGGTAAGATGGGAGCCTCAATAAACGAAAGAAGTTTTTTGCTTTATGTAAGCAGATGTTAGGAAGTGTTGCAAACACTGCTGCTGAGGTAGAATTTAATCTGCATCCACTGCTCACACTGTATTTAATCCACGTTCACTGCTCACACACTATTGAATCCATGTGCACTGCTCGTGCACTGTATTTAATCCGCGTGCACTGCTCATGCACTGTATTTAATCTGCGCACACTGCTCGCGCACTGTATTTAACCACATGCACTGCTTACGCACTGTATTTAATCCATGTGAACTGTTTACACACTGTATTTAATCTTTATTGTGCTGTTCACTGATACTTGATTTGACTCTGCACATAGGGATATTTCTTAGCCAAAACACTTAGTTCATGGTAGAAAAATTATTTCTGTGCAGTTTAACTGAACGAGTAATAGCATGGGTAAATACTAGACTTCTCTTGGGAATTCAGGTGTGTGAGTGGACAAGCCCATCGCTGTGGCCTGAATTCACATCAGCCAAGGAAACTCAAGAACCAGACACTAGTTTTCACTTCACTCATTTAAAAATCAGACTTTTTATAGGATGTATATCTTTCTAGGCTGATTTACTTAAAAATAGTTTGAAAAATTAATAATCCAATTCTAACTGATTTTTAGAAATACATGTTCTTATTTGAAAATTAAGCAGTAATTTAAAACTCATAAGTGAAAGCTTTGATTTATTAATTTCCAAAACTAATGATAAAACACATAAAGAAGTAATTTAAAAAAACTTACTGTAAAGGTGATGTACAGAGGGGTTAGTTACATAAGTAAGATAATGAGTACATTTCCTTGTTTTGGGGGGGTCCGGTCGTCGGGCCTGAACTCTGGGCCTGGGTGCTGTCCCTCAGCTCTTCAGCTCAAGGCTAGCACTCTACCACTTGAGCCAGAGTGCCACTTCTGGCTTTTTTCTTTTTGCTTATGTGGTGCTGAGGAATTGAACCCAGGGCCTCAGGCATGCAAGGCAAGCGCTCTACCACTGAACCACCTTCCCAGCCCCAATGAGTACATTTCTTTTTGACGTTTTACCCCCCTCCTTCCTTTTCTCCTGCTTTCCCTCCCCCTACCTCTGCTCTCCCCCAAGTTGTAAGGTTCATTTCCAACATAGTGTCTAGTGATTATTGCTGTTGCATTGTTTCACCCTTTGTCCCACATTTCTGTGATTGCTCTTCTTTTCCCCAAATAAGATAAGCTTATATACATGATAAGGGTACCAAAATCAAAATCAGTGATCACAGGTAATAAACCAGAGGGGAAAAAAAGTGAAAGAAAAAAGAAATATCTGCAAGCAATATACTAAAAAAAAAAAAGAAAAGAAAAACCTCTTCAGTTAGCCTAGGTGCTGTCTCTTTAGCTCAAGGATAGCGCTCTACCACTTGAGCCACCGGGCCAGGGGGCCTGGCCTGGGACCAGGGAAGTGCGCCTCCAATCTTGCACCTGTGATGAGCTTTCAAGTAGCTGCTTTTTTAAATGGCTTCAATCATTGGATTGCTGTGACAGCATTACGTCATCATAGCTGGAAGCCCTGGAGCCATGGTTGGTCATGGACCTATTGTGCCACAACCTCACCTGTCTCCCTGCAAGTTGCCTTGTCTGTGACTACACCCTGGTTTCTGGCTACATCTCCTGTTCACCTTCCCTTTGAATGGCCCAGGCTCAGACTGAGGCCTGGTGCCCCTTCATCGTCACTGCAGCTTGCTGCCCACATGTGGTCAGTGTGTGCCAGCTTGGGCCAGGCTCTGAGAGACTGTTCCAGTGGACAGCCTGCAAGCACACAGTCATGGTGTCATAAGAGGCTCACCCTGGTGGGGCAGGCTGTGTGCATGTGGGTGTGGGTGTAGAGCTCAGGGTTCCGTGCCGACCTCCTTCCCGCTCCCCACACCCCGCTCCACTTGCCTTCTGACTCTGTCACCCAGCTCCAAAGTGGTCATTCTCCACTCCAGCCACACCTAATGCACCATCCTCCATGGGTGATGTACCCAGCTGTCCCTGGCCCGTCCTGTCACACCTGTACACATGTGTGGGTGATGCATATACACAGCTGTTTCCTGGTTTGTCCTGCCACGCCCACTCTGGTTGAAGGTACACATACCCAGCTGCACAGTGGTTGCACATCACGTGTGGTGTTAATATAAGATGTCGATGCAGGGCTGGGAAGGTGGCTCAGTGGTAGAGCGCATGCCTTGCATGCCAGAGGCCCTGGGTTCGATTCCTTAGCACCATATAAGCAAAAAGAAAAAAGCCGGAAGTGGCGCTGTGGCTCAAGTGGTAGAGCGCTAGCCTTGAGCTGAAGAGCTGAGGGACAGCGCCCAGGCCCAGAGTTCAGGCCCCAGGCCCCATGACTGGACCCCCAAAAAAAAAAAGATGTCGATGCAGTGTTGTGGCAGGCAGACTAGAGGCAGCTGCACCTGGCTCTTGGGAGCTGTGTATTTGCTGCTGTGGTAGCATGACAACATGTGGGCTTTTCATGGTTGGCTTTTTCAAGGCTCCAGGGGTGGGATTGGGCTGAGCTCCTATAATCTCTCCTGTAAGCCAGTCTGTGTTCTGAACCTTGAGCATCCGTGAACCAGCTGCCCAGTCAACATGACTTGTCTTCATTCTGCTTAAGTAGCCCTTCAGGAATGTAAATGCAGCCAGGTGCTGGTGGCTGACACCTGTCATCCTAGCTACTTAAGAGGCTGAGATCTGAGGATCTCAGCTTACAGCCGTCTGGGCAGAAAAGTCCCCATTAGGCTCTTTAATAAATTACCCTGCAAAAGCCAGAGTGGCTCAAGTGGTAGAACACTAACCTTGAGCACAAAGAGGCTCAGGCATAGCACCCAAACCCTGAATTCAAGTCCAAGGACTGGCAAAAAAAAAAATGTAACAGCATGTGTCCTCTCTTACTTTTCCCACTTGCTCCTCACCAGTGTCTACACCCTGCAGATTTGAATCTGAGCGGCGACTTCGTCTCTCAAGGGCTCAGTCCAGCACAGCTCTATAGTAAAACTTCACTCAGTGTGAAGCCTGCTGGGAGCTTACAGCAAAAGGCTCTGAAGAGAGAGAGAAGTGGCAGATAGGGTACATGTGTGTGTCTCATCTCTTTAGAAAGAAGGGAAGCCTGGGGGAAGCAGGGAGGGAAGACATGTTGTTTCCTAGATTGGACAAATAGTGAGAGAGCGTGCACCAGATGTGGACAGGCCTTGTGTTCAATTCTGACCTCCCTAGCGGCGGTACAGCACACCGGTTTCTGCTCTTTCATGGGTATGCGGGGCACACACGCCCTTCACTCACATCATGGGGGCCCACCCCCACCCCCTCTGCCCTGCATGTGTGCTGATGAGCCTGAGGTGGGGAGGTGTGGGCTGATGAGCTCGAGGTGGGGAGGATTGCTTCCTGAGCATGAACTAGAGAGCTGCCCAGTACTGTGGTGCTGAGGCCCTTCCCTTCTCCATTATATCGTTTTTTCGGTGAGGGTCTCACCACACCTTGCTCAGGTGGGCTTTGCACTGACGGACTTCAGGCTGGGGACAGACTAACAAGTTGCACTAGCAAAGAAGTACAGCCGTTGTTTGTGGCACTAATGAGCTTTAATCAGAGCCTGATGCTTTTGTTTTATTTCACTTATGGTTTTTGACGTGTTTCTGTTTTGGTCTGACTAGGCGGAGCCTGATCTGGTTAGTGCAATTTATGGCCGAGGGATGGCCTATGGAAAGAAGGGACTACATGTGAGTATGTACAGCTGCGCGTGCCAAACTGCTTGCTGTTCACTGAGCTCTGATGGGACACCCGTGAGGAGAGGAGATAGTATCTCCCCAGGGCCCAAGGGCTAGCAAGTGGTGGACAGGGTTATACCAAGAGCTTCTGATGCCATCTTGGTGAACTAGACACAGGTAAAGACAAGCCTAAGGCCTGACTGCACTGGTGAAATGTAGACTAGACCAGACCAGACACCGACTGAAATTCTTTTTTTTTTTTTTTTTGTCGGTCGTGGGGCTTGAACTCTGGGCCTGGGCGCTGTTCCTCAGCCCTTCAGCTCAAGGCGAGCGCTCTACCACTTGAGCAAAGCGCCACTTCTGGTTTTCTGGTGGTTTATTGGAGATAAGAGTCTCACGGACTTTCCTGCCTGGGCTGGCTTTGAACCTCGATTCTCAGATCTCAGCCTCCTGAGTAGCTAGGATTACAGGCGTGAGCAACCAGCGCCCGGCCGGACTGAAATTCTTATCACAACCATTACTGACTGAACGAAAAGTCATGCACTTTTTTCAGTGTGTAATTTATTTTTATTTGCTATATTGTATGCATTTTTTCAGGAAGGTGTTAAGACCTTCGTAGTTGTAATCAAATCATCTCATTTCTCTGAGGAAGGCAGAAGGAAGGTCACAAAAAGTACTTTCTATGCAAACAAAGCCACTGAGATGTAAGCACTTTGCCAAGGCTATAGCAAATGAAAGGGCCCTCCAGGTGTTGAGTGGTCAGTTGTTTCCAACATCTCCTTTCCTTTTGTCTTATCACTTAATAAAGCCATCATGAAGCTGCTTCAGGGCAGCCATCACCTTCATAACTTCCATTAAGAGCATTAAAGTCTGACAGCACAGTATTATTTTAGTTAAAACTTATTTGAATGTTAAAATGTAGTGAGCTGGTGTGGCTTGTTGGGAAAATTTATATTATCCTTATTTACTTGTGTGATACGGATGATGAGGAAAAGCCAGCACTGGGGATGGTGGATGCTGTGGGTTGGAAGTCCTTGAGTAAACTGAAAGAGAAAAGTGGCTGCCTTCTGATCGTCACACCTTCTAAAGCATTATACCCTGCCATGTGATTAGTGTCTCTCTACCAGAAAGCTGCCTGTGCACTCTGAATGCAGTGGTAACATGCCAGTGCTAGGGAGAACTCCCAAGACCTATCAGGTGCAGGTTATGATTGGGCTTCACACAGCCCTTGCTGTTCCATGCTATCCCTGGCCGGCATCATCCCATGGACTAGAGTCCAGGCATCTATGCCACGTGGGTTGGTTGTGCATATTCCGGTAAGATCCTCTGCTGGTGGCATTTAGTGTGGGCAGCCAGGTCCAGCATATGCCGTTCATTGGAGGGTAGAGAGTTGAATGGGTTAGTGAGTGACTACTATCACAACTTACCAAACCTGGCACTTTTTACCCAGAAATGAAGTTCACATTTCCTTCTAAACAGTTATATCATGACTAAATTTTCAATTTTTTCTGAAGCTCTTTCTCATCTGGTTTTAAGTAGCAGTCTGTCTCACACTGAGCTAATACCTTTTCAAGGACATTAAGAATGCTGAGCTTGCTCTGTTTGAACTGAGCCGAGTAATTGCCTTGGAACCAGACCGCCCAGAGGTATTTGAGAAGCGAGCAGAAGTGAGTGTGGTTTTCTTTTTCCCTCTCTTGTTATCGGATTTATAAATTTAGAATTTTTTCCTGTTATTTTCTGATTTTATCACTTTTAAGTTTTAAGTTTTAATGCTTCCGTATACTTGTTGTGTTTCCCTGCTTAGATACCTGGGACCTTTAAGCATGGTTGAAATTATTAGAAGATCATGAACTGAGTGAGGCCCTGGATCTGACATATAAGTGTGGTATTTAGTATAAAATACATAGTTGTGAAGCCGGGGGAGTGGGGGTGGAGGGGGGCACTGGTGGCCTTTGTCTGTTATCCTAGCTACTCAGGAAGCTAAGATCTGAGGATCACAGTTCAAAGCCAACCCAAGCAGGAAAGTCCCTAAGACTCTTATCTCCAGTTAACCCTAGAAAACTAGAAGTGGTGCTGTGGCTCAAAGTAGTAGTACCCTAGCCTTAAACAAAAAACCTTCAGGGACAGTACCCCGGCCCTGAATTCAAGCCTCAGGACTCACCCAAGTAAAGAAGAACATAGTTATGACATGTAATAACATCTACAAACATTAATTATATCACATATTTTCTGTATACATGGCATACTTTAACAAAGCTTAACGTGACACTTAAGTCAGAATGAAATATCCAGCCCTTGCAGGTCTTCATTTTGTGTGAGCACCATGTGTACATGCTCCGGTACAGTTCTTATGGGACAGTGTCTAGCCAGTGCATGTAACGGGTCTGGAGGACTGTGCCCAGGCCATACAGAAGGTGTGCATGCATGGGGCTGGGAAGGTGGCTCAGTGGTAGAGCGCATGCCTTGCATGCCAGAGGCCCTGGGTTCGATTCCTCAGCACCACATAAGCAAAAAGACAAAAGCCGGATGTGGTGCTGTGGCTCAAGTGGTAGAGTGCTAGCCTTGAGCTGAAGAGCTGAGGGACAGCACCCAGGCCCAGAGTTCAGGCCCCATGACCGGACCCCCCCCCAAAAAAAAAAAAAAGAATGTGTGCATGCGTGCAACTCATGCCCAGTTCTTAGGAGACACACTTGACAGGTAGAGGCACAGAGTCACTTGGGATTGTAACCAGACCTTGGGGATGGGGTGGGATGCAGGGGCAAGGGAAGTAGGAGAGAGGGAGAAGGAGACAGCAGTCACTGTGCAGAGTTCACTGTGCAGAGTTCTTTTTTTGTTTGTTTTGTTCCTGTGGTGCTGGGTTCAACTCAGGGTTGGAGCTAAATAGGCTAGTGCTTTATAGCTTGAGCAAGATTTTAGCCCTCTCATGCATAGGGGACCGGCCGAAGTTGAAGGAACTGTGCCTTGCGGTGGAGTTAGGGTATCAGTAGATCTGCTGAGCTGGCCTAGGAGAGGTCGTCCAGGGTGAGGATGGGGGAGGACTGCAGGAGAGATCTTCCAGGATGGGGAGGACTACAGGAGAGATCTTCCAGGATGAGGATAAGGAGGACTGCAGGAGAAATCTTCCAGGATGAGGATAAGGAGGACTGCAGGAGAAATCTTCCAGGATGAGGATAAGGAGGACTGCAGGAAAGCTCTTCCAGGGTGAGGATGACGAAGGACTGCAGGAGAGATCTTCCAGGATGAGGAGGACTGCAGGAGGATCTTCCAGGATGAGGATGAGGAGGACTGCAGGAGGATCTTCCAGGATGAGGATGGGGAAGGACTGCAGGAGAGATCTTCCAGGATGAGGAGGACTACAGGAGGATCTTCCAGGATGAAGATGAGGGAGGACTTCCGGGGCATGGGCAGTGGGGTGGGTGCTCCTGCCTGAGTGGGACAGTTGGAGCCCAGTAAAGCCACCATCAGAGGCAATGGGAGGAGGGTGCCAAGGCGCTCACTGGACATCTGTAAACCAGCGTGCTCTTTTACTGTGTTCTTAAAGTAAGACTGAGTTATCTAGGGTTCACTAACGAGCTACATCAGAATGAAACAGCTTTTAATCATCTGATATAGTATAATTTTACATTTGGGATAAGGAAAAATTACTTTTTTTTCTGTCTTCTGAGGAGAAAAAAAATCCTCTGAAGTAAAGGAGCACTAGGTATAGAAATGGCAGGGCTGGTTTGTGTTGTGTTGGGGACGTGGTTTTCAGTCTTTCTCAGAGTGCCATGTGTGTGGGGTGCTGCTCTCCCTTCACCTTGCCCTGGGCTGGGAGGTTGGGTGGGGGGTGCTGGTATGGCTGGCAGGGTGGAGCTCCAGGCAGGCCTCTGGCTCCTCCCAGGTTACTCTGCTGTTGCATTCAATTGCTTGGGTCAGTCATAAATTTAAGTGTTCTTAGATTTCTCCGACAGCTCTTTAAAACTTGAAATCTAATGCAAAGCTTATTGCTTATCAAAGATGATTTTGGTAATTAGAGCAATAATTTTTATTATATAAAAGCATGACTTGGCAGTAATGACATTGAATTGTGATTTCCACAGTTTATAGTCCAGCATCCCATGGATATCTCAAGTTACTTTGTGAGCCATTTTTACTTTTGTACTTTCTCAAGTAGTCTATTTGGTTAAAAATAATTAAAGCTTTTTAGCTACCCGTTATCATGCACATTAATGATCGTGGAAGCTGTAATGATTCAGTGCGGCCTGTGGGGTGTTTTCCCTCTGAAAGACAACCCGGTCCAGCCTGCTGGGTTCTGAGCCCTTATGGCCAGCCAGCCGGGGTCTGTCAGTGACACTGGATGGACGTGACCGTGCTATAGGCAGTTGGCCTGGGTCTGTCAGTAACACTGGACGGGTGTGACCGTGGTATAGACGACCAGCCTGGGTCTACCAGTGACACTGGATGGACGTGACCATGGTGTAGATGACTGGCCCGGGTCTGTCAGTGACACTGGGCGGATGTGACTGTGATGTAGCTGACCGGCCCGGGTCTGTCAGTAACACTGGATGGACATGACCATGGTGTAGACAGCTGGCTTGGGTCTGTGGCATGCTCTCCTGCACCTAGTCTGTCAGTAACACTGGATGGACGTGACCGTGGTGTAGACAGACAGCTTGGGTCTGTGACATGCTCTCCTGCACCAGGTCTGTCAGTGACATTGGACAGACATGTGACTGTGGTGTAGAAGCCCTCCGGCAGGGCCCGTGGGCTTCCTGGTGTGAAGACCCAATTTGAGTTTTCTCTGTCCTTTCCACTTTGTTTGGGGTTCTGTGCGTTTATCTGCGTGGCCACACTTCCTGAGCACCAGTGACTGCTGGTTTACAGCATAGCACCAGCATGCAGGTTCTTCTTTGGCTGATGGAGGGGCACTCACAGCACCTGGCATCTTAGCAGTTACCATTTGTGTCTGTTGCCACTTAGGACAGAACTAGAAATTATGAAAAACTCTTCATTTCCACAACTTGTGTGTCCTAATGGTTCAAATTATCTTTTGATATCTTCAAGCAAATTTTGACATCTTTATTTGTTGTTTTTTGTTCTTTTTTGTTGTTGTTGTTGTTGATTGTGGGTCTTGAATTCTGGGTCTGGGCACTTTGCCTGGGCTCTTCAGCTCAAGGTGAGTGCTCTAAGAATTGAGTCACAGCACCACTTCTGATTTTCTGGTGGCTCATTGGAGATAAGAGTCTCACGGACTTTCCTGCCCAGGCTGCCTTTGAACCTTGATCCTCAGATCTCAGCCTCCTGAGTAGCTAGGATTACAGGGGTGAGCAACCAGCACCCGGCAACATCTTATGTGTATATGGCAAATTTTAACTTAAAAGATAACTATAGGTCAAGAAAAGAGGGTCTCATTTTAAGAAAAGCAACATCTGGTCTATGCAGTGTATGACAGTGGCATGGCCACAGTTCCTCTCCTTGTTGGCTAGCCTGCTGGAATTGTAGTTTTGTGAGTTGCAGGTGGTAGAGTGGAGTTGAAAAGTCAGAATTATAGGTCTTGTTAGGGCTGTTCATTGAAATGTCTCTTGACTACATGTTTTGGATTTCTAGATTCTGTCTCCTCTGGGACGAATTAATGAAGCGGTGAACGACCTCACGAAGGCTATTCAGCTTCAGCCTTCAGCCCGGCTGTACCGGCACCGGGGGACCCTGCACTTCATATCTGAGGTGATCTGCCGTCCCTTTCTCCCTTGGCCTCAGATGCTGGCTTTGGGATAGACTTGGAATTGTGCTAGTTAGTGAAGCGTGTGTGTTACAAGGCAGTTGTGTAAGGTTTTTTTTTTAGCTGAAATTAAATCAAGTAGAGAATATTAAGTGCCAAAAGACTCTTTCCTGTCAGCAGTGTTAGATTCTGAGTTGGCATGAGGAGTAGGTGACGCAGGGTCCGTGAACTGCCCTGAGCTTCTCTGCAGACCTCAGTGTGGGCACGGTGCTCCTGCTGCCAGTGTCGTCATTAAACCTAGAGGTGTATGCTTTCTCAGCCCAAGCCGGCACGACACCCAGCCTGAACCTGGCAAGAGTGTCTGTGATTGCTGTGGCTCTCAAAAGACTTGTTGCAGCTCCATGTGTGGATTGACAGTACTTCTTCATAACATTTTCTGCTGAAAAAATGCATGAGTGAATTTCAAAATAAGACATCGTGGGGTGACCCCATGACCTGACATTTTTTCTTAACAGATGATCACTTTGGTAGTGTTGAAGTAATATTCTTTCTCTGGTTGAGACGAAGGACGTAAATACGCCTTTGTGGAAACCAGCTACTGACAAGTACTGCAAATGTTCAGCTCATGTTCATAAGGCCATGGAATGCTTCCTTTAAAGTAAAAAAGAGCTGGGTACTGGTGGCTCACTCCTGTAATCCTAGCTACTTAGGAGGCTGAGATCTGAGGATCACGGTTCAAAGCCAGCTCAGGCAAGGAAAGTCCGTGAGACTCTTATCTCCAATAAACCACTAGAAAACAGGAAGTGGTGCTGTGGCTCAAGTGGTAGAGCACCAGCCTTGAGCTGAAGAGCTCAGGGACAGCGCCCAGGCTCAGAGTTAAAGCCTCACAACCAATAACAACAACAACAAAAAAGTCAAAACAGTCACAGGACAATTCAGGATTTTTTTTTTAATTGTGAAAATACCATACAGAGGGGTTACAATTACATGAGCAAGGTAATGAGTACATTTCTTATTAAGTATTGTTGCCTCTTCCTTTGTTTCCCCTTACTATCCCTTTCCATCTACCCCCCACACACACCCCCTCACATGCTGCACCCCCTCACAACCCGCGCCAAAGTTGTAAAGTTCGTTTTTCAACAAAACATCTTGTACACCTCATTGTTGCAATGGGTCCACCTGTATCCCTATTTAAACAATTTGTTTTTTCCCCTTCCCCTCCACAAATTATACCAACGTCAAATACAGTGAAAACCGGTGGGGGAGGGACATACAAAGCAACAAAGAAACCATCTTATAAATATGTTAGAAACAATCACAAGAAGGAAAAACATTGGAATCCTTATCTTGGGGTTCATTTCGCCTAACATCAACTTATTTGACCAGTTCTGCTTGTCTCAGACATATACTAGTTATTTCAAATAAGGGAAACAATGGGACCTATGTTTCTTTGGGCCTGGCTTACTTCACTTAATATAATTTTTTCCAAGTCTTTCCATTTCCTAACAAATGGGGCAATGTCATTCTTTCTGATGGAAGCATAGAATTCCATTGTGTATATATACCACATTTTCTTAATCCATTCATCTACTGAGGGGCATCTGGGTTGGTTCCATATCTTAGCTATGGTAAATAATGCTGCAATAAACATAGTTGTGCTGGTAGCTTTAGTGTGGTCTTGTTTGTGGTCATTTGGGTAAATGCCCCAAAGTGGAATTGCTGGGTCATAGGGGAGCTCTATGTGGAGTCTTTTGAGGAACCTCCATACTACTTTTCAAAGTGGTTGAACAAGTTTACACTCCCACCAACAATGCAGTAGGGTTGCCTTCTGTCCACATCCTCTCCAGCATCTGTTTTTATTAGAGTTCTTGATTATAGCTATTCTAACTGGGGTGAGGTGGTATCTCAATATTGTTTTGATTTGCATTTCTTTTATCACAAGGGAGGTTGAGCATTTCTTCATCAGGATTTTTTTTTCTCTACAGACAAAGCAGGAAGCACTCCAGTATCTAATGGCTGTGGTTTTATTGTCTCACTCTTTGTAGGACTATGTGACAGCCCACGAGGACTTCCAGCAGTCCTTGGAGCTGAACAGGAACCAGCCCACGGCCATGCTGTACAAAGGTCTCACTTTCTTCCATAGAGGACTTCTGAAGGTGAGAGTCTGTAGCGCACATACCTGGCATGGTTCTGCCTTGGGTGGGGGGCTGGGGGTCATCATATTTAAGGTACATCTCATGACCTCCTTTAGAAAGTAGTGTGAATATTTTTTGAGCCCCTACTGTCTTCCAGGTCTTTGGGAGAAGGCACAGAAAGAGAATGAAGGTAAGGAAGAGGGAGAGATCAGACTTTCACTTACAAAGGATGTAGTTTGCAAAGTTCCTAGGTAGAGGTGGCGAGGGACTAGAGGATGAGGGCACAGGCAGGTGTGAGCACAGCAGTGGTGGTGTGAGGAGATGGGAGTGTGAGTGTTGGCTGGCTGGATGCAAGCCAGCCCTCAGCCTGGAGTACAGCACTGAGCACCGAGGTCCAGAGGAGCCATGAACATCAGACTGTCAGGAAGTCATTGATGGCACCGATCTGTGCCTTAGGATGTCAGTTTTAAGGCTATGACAGCCAATGACGCTCACCCAGAGAAACTGGTACCGTCCCCAGCTGGGGTGCGGAGACCTGAGCTAGTGCCCGGGGCATCTGGGGAGCAGAGTACAGCCTTGGTGGGTGGTGTGACAGGAATCAGGGACCAGGCCTGTGTGGACCGGTGGTGCTGTGTCCTCACCCTTCCAGTTAGTTCCTGCTGTGCCCCAGGCTTGGAGAGTGATTCCTCTGTGCCCGCTGAGGCTTGACACGGTTGTTGCCTGAGGATGGGACACATTGAGCCACTGGACAGAAGACAGGTTGGCCTGAGTGCTGGGCTGGGCGAGCCCTGACAGGGCGCGCGAGTTGTGTTGGGAGGCTGAGGCTGGCCTCCACAGAGAAGGTGGCCCTGACTGGAAGGTGCGGCTGTAACAACTTGTGCAGCACAGGGCAGAAGTAGAAATAGTGCCGAGCACTTCAGCTCTGCTGGACAGGCAGCCTGTGTCAGCACAGTGCTGATCAAAAATGTTTGTATTTGATGATACATCTGGCAAGGTGGCACTGGCCATACCTGTAATCCTGACTGCTCAGGAGACTGAGATCTCAAGTACCATGGTTCAAAGCCCGCCAATTAGAAAAGTCCAAGAGACTCATATCCAAATTACCAGCAGAGAGCTGGGCTAGAAAGGTGGCTCAGGTGGAGAGCAAAGCAAGCATACAACAGGCCCTTAGTTCAAACCTCAGTACTTCCCCTCCTTCCAAAAGCTTGTTTGTGGAGGACATCAGCCTGCAGGGACCTATCACAGCCTGACCTCAGCTTACCTGTACATATGCTTACACACCTGTTGCAGTGGTTCAGAGATGCTTTCGGTCCACAGAGCATGGGCACCGGAGCCAGTCCCCATGACATTGGGACGACCTCATGTGTCACATCCTGGTGTTTAAGAAGTGTAGGTAGATGAAGGGGTTTCAGGGACAGAGCACTGAACTTGGCCCTGAAGCCTGGTCTGAGCCAGCTCCTAACCAGGTTTTTTGACTTGAGCTTCTTCCACTCCTGCGAGTGGGAGGCAGCCTGCATTCTACCTCCCAGACTGACCCAAGGACTGAATGAGATCTGTGTGAAAAGTGCTCTTAAGCCATAAACAGTAACCACTGTTCCTGTAGGTACTTTAACCCGAGAAACTTTAATCTAAGGTTGTTTTTTTTTTCTTTTTTTGGGTTCCAGTCCTAGGGCTTGAACTCAGGGCCGTGGCACTGTTCCTGAGCATCTTTTGCTCAAGGCTAGCACACTATCACTTGAGCCACAGCTCCACTTCCAGCTTTTGCTGGTTAATTACAGATAAGAGTCTTATGGACTTTTCTGCCCTGGTGGCTTTGAACTGCGATCCTCAGATTTCAGCCTTCTAGTATCAACTAGAATTACAGGTGTGAACCACTGTACCTGGCTAATCTAAGTTTTATAGATTCAAAAAAAAAAACAAACCTCCCTTTCTAAGTTTCTCCATTTCCTAACAAATGGGGCAATGTCATTCCTTCTGATGGAAGCATAGAATTCCATTGTGTATATATACCACATTTTCTTAATCCATTCATCTACTGAGGGGCATCTGGGTTGGTTCCATATCTTAGCTATGGTAAATAATGCTGCAATAAACATAGTTGTGCTGGTAGCTTTAGTGTGGTCTTGTTTGTGGTCATTTGGGTAAATGCCCCAAAGTGGAATTGCTGGGTCATAGGGGAGCTCTATATGGAGTCTTTTGAGGAACCTCCATATTACTTTCCAAAGTGGTTGAACAAGTTTACACTCCCACCAACAATGAAGTAAGGTTCCCTTCTGTCCACATCCTCTCCAGCATCTGTTTTTATTAGAGTTCTTGATTATAGCTATTCTAACTGGGGTGAGGTGGTAGCTCAATGTTGTTTTGATTTGCATTTCTTTTATTGCTAGGGCGGTTGAGCATTTCTGCATGTGTCTATTGGCCATCCTTCTTTCCTCTTCAGAGAAGTTTCTCTTTATGTCTTTAGCCCACTTATATTAAGTGAAGTAAGCCAGGCCCAAAGAAACATAGGTCCCATGGTTTCCCTTATTTGCAATAACTAGCATATGTCTGAGACAAGCAGAAACGGTCAGGTAAGTTGATGTTAGGTGAAATGACCCCCAAGATAAGGATTCAAATGTTTTTTCTTTCTTGCAGTTGTTTCTAACATATTTATAAGATGATTTCTTTGTTGCTTTGTATGTACCTCCCCCACGGTATAACCCCTGTATTCACTGTATTTGATGTTGGTATAATTTGTGGAGGGGAAGGGGAAAAAACAAATTGTTTAAATAGGGATACAGGTGGACCCATTGCAACAATGAGATGTACAGATGTTATGTTGAAAAACAAACTTTACAACTTTGGCCGGGTGGGGGGGAGGGGGAAGTGGGGGTTGGGGGGCGAAGATAGGAAGGAATGGGAAGGAAAAACAGAGGAAGAGGCAACAATGGTTGATAAGAAATGTACTCATTACCTTTCCCCTGTAATTGTAACCCCTCTGTATGGTATTTTCACAATAAAAAGTGAAAGAAAGAAAAAAACTCCCTGTCTATTAAAAGCCACACTAAGTAGTACTTTGCAAATTCAGTGTTATGTACCTCCATATAAGTATTCAAAAAAAAAACCCCTGAGGCATAGCTGCACTGTGACTAGCACTGGGCAGCAGGGTGGCTCCTGAGCCCTTGCTATGACAGCTGCTGGTGGGTTTTGCAGGTTTGTTGTGCTTGCTCCCTCTGCTCCTGTCATCTTCTCTCAGTCATCCTGAGTGAGAAAGCGACACTCAAAGTCTGTCTTGTGGAGGGGAAAAATGTTTTTCTATTCATAATACGTACTTAGCTATTGTATGAGTATTTTAAGAGGTAAACAGATGCAAACAAATGATTTCACTCTTGGATACTATATGCTGGGTTTAGGAACAGGGGCTGTTTCTTTGGTCATTTGGAATTGAGAGTTTTAGAGAAGAGGTCTAACAGACCAACTACAAATTGCACAGACTAAATTTTAATTGGTTTATTCCATTTGTATACAGTGAGTCTAGTGTTTTTATTTTTGAGCTTAGAAGCCGTCAGTGAGCCAGGGTCCTCCATCACTCCGTGTGCTGTGAGCACATCTGTGCTAAGGCTTTCTGTGTGCTTACGTGTTACGCGTCTGCTGGCAGATCCGACAGGCCTGCTGCCTATTTGTCCTTGCAGATGCCCACAAGGAACAGCAGGAGCAGAGTGGAAAAACCTAGCGTGAGCCAGCTAAGCTACTTCTACCTCTTGTTAATCAAAGTACAAAATGTCAAATGCTCCAGGACTTTGAGCTGTCCCCCTCAATTTAGTCTGTTCATGCCAACAGCAACTAGAAATTAATTAGCTGGGTGATCTCTTACTTTTTATTGAAGGACATTAGGCAGTGTTACAGATTTCACAGCCATCCATGTTAGTGCATCCAGCAGGCTTTTGAGGTTTGCCTAGGAAACACCCACATACACATTCCTGTTGAATTGCTTGTGTCACCTCTGTTGGGAGGCTATTTTAATTCTTGTGTTAGAGGCATCAGAGCCTTTGCCTTGAGCTGTCTGTGTTCTCCAGCGTCAGAGCAGCCTGATGATGCCACCACTGCCTAGCGAGGCCAGTGTTGGTGCAGAGTCGTAATCGTTGTGTGTGCCAAGCGATGAGTTCCCACCCGTTCTTGTGTCTGAGACTGCTTTGTTTGACATGGTCTCTGTGAAATCTTGATTCTGTCTGGTCTTTTTTTGGCAGAATGAGGTAGAGAGCTGTGTTGTGCTTAGACAGGAGCTCTGAAACCAAAGACTCTTAAAAGCAGAAAAGAATCAGACTTTGAAGAACTGTGGCATCCATGTTTGCTGTAAGTGGAGGGGGAAGCAGGTGCCCCAGGCAGCTCCCTGTCGAGGTCCACAGACATGCAGGCTTCACACGCCCGGGCTGGGCTCGTCCCCTCCTGCAGTTGTTGTCTGTGTTTGTGGTGGTCAGTGCATTTGCCCTTGCCCAGGCTCTTCAGCCTAGAAGCTGCCCCCCCTTCCTCTCCCACACCCCACCTCTGGCCACCAGACTCTGTCCCGGTTTGCCTTTTAAAAGTCTCTGGCATTTGACTTTTCTTTTCTCTCCCCAGACACTCAGTGTGAGCTTTCCTTGTCTCTTGCCTGGACAACCACAGTGACGCCTGGCTGGGTCTTCTTTCTTCCTCTGTGGTGGTTGCCCTTCTTCCAGGAATGCATCTCAGAGGCAGTGCCGTTCTTGGTCTCTGCCCTCACTTCCTCTCCCGCCTCTCCCTACTGCTGTGGTGGGCCCCTAGTGCCCACCATCCTCCAGCTGTAAATCACATGTGGCCCCATTCCCTCCACGAGACATCCTCCTTCCTGGCCTGCTTCCAGTCTTGTCTCCAACCCCATTCCTTTCCAGTGGCCTCCGGTCTCCAGCCCCACGCAGAACACTTCCTCCCGGCCCCCAGTGCTGTTAGCGTTCCTTCTGTCCATGACCAGAGATTTAACTGCTGGTTCTGTTGTAGTTCTTTTTTTTTTTTTTTGTTAGTCGTGGGGCTTGAACTCTGGGCCCAGGTGCTGTCCCCCACTTCCAGTTTTCAAGTGGTTTATTGGAGATAAGAGTCTCACGGACTTTCCTGCCTGGGCTGGCTTTGAACCGAGATTCTCAGATCTCAGCCTCCTGAGTAGCTAAGATTACAGGCGTGTGCCACCAGCGCCTGGCTTTCTGTTATAGTTCTGTAAATGTTCACCCTAATAACCCAGTCACATCATTGGCTTTCTAATCAGGCTGCATTCTTAGAGGACAGAAATAGTGAATGGCTTGCCCATCTTTGTTTCCCTTGTATCTTGTGCTGTCTCTGGCACATCGTAGGCATTTAATATATGCTTGTTGAATCAGAGAAGAGTTGTAAAACCTCCTAAAAGATCAAGACTAGTCCATGGCAGCAAGCCAAATCCAAGAGTTGTCTTAACATTTGTGAAGTATTAAAATGTGTTCATTCTCAACTTGTTCCAACTAGTAGTCCTTACCCCGTCTTCACCCGCCCCCCCAAGAATTCAGTTGCTTAGATGAGAGGCTTTTTCAGATGACTTGACATTGTGCTGTGTTTGCAAAATGATCAGAGCCTACAAATCATCAGATATTTATTGAGTGCCTGTCCTGTGCAAGGCATGTGACATCCTCGCTACTTCTACCAAGGGTTCAGTCAGGTGTGAAATGATCTGAAGTGAAAGGTTTCACTGAAAGTACTCTTAACGTGTGGCACTTTGTGGCATTTAACACTGGGTATGGTATCTTTTCCTGTGAAAAATAGTGAGAGGTGTCTGATTTTGTGTTACAGTAATAATTATGCCAGTGAAGATGCATGCGTACTGAGTACCCCAGGTCTTTATCCTTGAACACATGCTATGGAGTGGTTATCACCACCCGTCCCCAGTCCTACACTCTGCTTGGTGGCAGTGTAGCCAGGCCTAGATCCTGCGTCTGGTGCTGCGAAATTTTGTTTCCTCGGCCACTCATCCTTTGCTCCTTGGTCACCACTGCCCTCAGCAACCAGTTTAGCAGCTGTTTTTGCTTCTTGTACCCACTTCTGTCTCTCTTGTTGACTCGGGTTTAAGAATTGCTAGTTAGAGTCATTTTTAATGATCTCACATAGACATCAGGTCACCTGTGGTTCTTCAGGCCTTTATCGATTAGGAAATGGTATTAACATAAAGTGGTATTGTTAGTACACAGATGCATAGTGAGTTAGATAGATTGAAGTTTGTTTTCTCATCTGAAAAAGAAGAGACATGAAGCTGTTGTGTTTTACAGTAATATTTTTATTCACTGCTGAACTCACATCCTCCTGACTTCATTTACTGCATTTTCTGTCTCTTTTTAAAAGTCTTCCTATTTAGCCGGGTGCTGGTAGCTCACACCTGTAATCCTAGCTACTCAGGAGGCTGAGATCTGAGGATCGAGGTTCAAAGCCAGCCCGGGCAGGAGAGACCGTGAGACTCCTATCTCCAATAAACCACCAGAAAACCGGAAGTGGCGCTGTAGCTCAAGTGGTAGAGCGCTCGCCTTGAGCTGAAGAGTTGAGGGACATCGCCCAGGCCCAGAGTTCAAGCCCCACGACTGACCAAAAAAAAAAAAGTCTTTCCTATTTAAAAGACATTCTGTCAGAGGCTAGGCGTTGTATATATTTAGTATGTATTTGGCCATGAGAGTCATGGCATGTGTTAATTCTCTGCATATTCATGCAGGAAGCCATTGAAGCCTTCAAAGAAGCTCTGAAGCAGAAAGTTGATTTCATTGATGCCTATAAGAGTCTGGGGCAGGCCTACAGGTGAGTGCACTGAGGGTGGATGGAGGTGATACAAGAGCCTGGGGCAGCCTGCAGGTGAGTGAACAGGGGCTGACAGGGAGAACGGAGGTGATACAAGAGTCTGGGGCAGGCCTGCAAGTGAGTGAGATGAGCTGGGCATGGATGGGGCAGATGTGTGAAGTGAGAGCACAGCGGAAGCTACGTTGGCCTTGCATGCCGTGGAGCTCCCGTGCTGCTGGGCTCTCTCCTGCCGTGTGGAGAGAGCCCGTGCAGGGGTCCTGTGCAGACGATTGTGTTCTAGAACAGCTTGAGGAGTGTGTGTAGGGCCAGGTATGCCATGTCCAGAAGCTGGTGCGGCTGACAGCAGGGGCTCATGATGGAGCCAGGGCTGGAGCTGGTCTGCTTGCCCTCTGCCCTCCCCTGGGCCTCAGGTGCTGCATATGACATGGGCATGGAAGCCACCAGGAGAGACAGTGGGGCTGGTATTGCTTGTCTATACCTCATTTAGGTGATGGCTGGAGAAACTCCTACACCAGCATGGGGAAAGTGTGGGTGTACGTGTTTGGAGTGTCAAGGGTGATGTTTTCCCTCCTATCTCTCAGAACTATTGGGAATATAATCTGAAAACAGATTCGTACATGGGTGATGAAAAATGTAAGCAAATGTTACATTTCTTGAAATACGTTATTAAATAAAATTGATACATAGAATTTATGGAAGCTATTTTATTCCTTGTAAAGTTTTTAGTAAGTAACAAAATCAGTAACTACAATTTCCAGTGTAGAATTTCAGATTATGTAATGACTATATTAGATGTTTGTTGAAGTAACTTCAGTGACAAAAAATACAATTTAAGTCTATGACTTGACTCAGAATGATAAACGTATATATGATTGTAATCTGTGTACTTTCTCCAAAGAAAAAAATGTGGTTGTTTTATTTTTAATATACTAAAATTTACCTAGCATTTTAGAGGCTAGAGTTCATTTTGAATTGGGAGAATAGTTTGAAAGCGTTTGCTCTTGGGAATCACTGAAGGTGATTTTCCCCAGAGAACTTGGAGGGCTGTGAGGTGGTCCTCCAGCCTGGTTGGGCCGGTGATGGCAGATGGGTGCGTGAGTCAGAGGACAGGGAGATGTCCGATTGCCTCAAGGTGTCTTCCTCCCGCACGACTGGGCCATGTGTCACACATTTACCACTGCTGTTCAATCCCTAGAGAGCTGGGCAACTTTGAAGCAGCCACTGAGAGCTTTCAGAAGGCTCTGCTCCTCAACCAGAACCATGTGCAGACCTTGCAGCTCCGGGGGCTGATGCTCTACCACCACGGCAGCCTTCATGAGGCTCTCAAGAACTTCAAGGTGAGCCTCTGTATCGGAAGGCTCTGTCCCTGCAGCCTTGAGCGAGTCCAGAGAGCTCAGTGACAGGGATGGAGACAGGGCTGTAGATGCTGTGTGTGCTGCACAAAGGTAAGGCAGGCTGGCGGGCAGCAAACCAGCAGAGCCTGAGTGTGGCTTTGAGTAGAGTCGCAGGGGTCTTAGGTGACACCAGAACTGATTTTGCCTCTGTGCTTCCGTGCCCAGCGATGCCTGCAGCTAGAGCCATACAACGATGTGTGTCAGTACATGAGGGGACTCAGCCATGTCGCCATGGGCCAGTTCTATGAAGGGATCAAAGCACAGACCAAAGTCATGCTCAATGAGCCCCTCCCTGGCCAGAAGGCAAGCCCTGAGTATCTGAAGGTGAAGTACCTCAGAGGTAAGTCCGCATGGCACGCAGTAGAACCCTGGACCTTCGTGGGCAAAGCTGCGGAGGAATGTGCTGGACTCGGTGTTCCTCAGGAGACCCCACCTTAAGAGGCTGGACAGCTGGCCCAGCTGCCTCTGCTGGTGGATGAGGTGGATGTGGGTCTTCGAAAGGCCTGTCTTTCCTACAGGTTGTCTTTCTAAAACTGAAACAAACTCTACCTGAGTAAAAAGATACATTTTGGTCATTTGGCATAGTCCAGACTTACTGCATCTCCAGATTCCTGAGGCAGTTGCCTCTGAAGTTTTTACTATTGAGTGGAAATGTAGTTCTGACCTGTCATTCCTTCATGTCAGACTCCCACGTGTCCTGGCAAAGTGTGGCTCGGTGAGGAAGGAATCAAATGTAGCCTTTTATCTGCCTATATGAAGATGTTTTGTTGTCCACATAGTTGTGGCTCTTTTTATTAGCCAACAAGATAATTACTGTCCCAATAGAAAATAATAGCAGGCTATGGACTTTTTTTTTTTTTTTGGTAGGTTGTGGGGCTTGAACTCTGGGCCTGAGCACTGTCCCTGAGCATTAGCTCTAGGCTAGCACTCTACCATTTGAGCCACAGCACCACTTCCGGTTTTCTGGTGGTTTATTGGAGATAAGAGTCTCACGGACTTGGAGCTGGGAAGGTGGCTCAATGGTAGAGTGCTTGCCTTGCATGCATGAGGTGCTGGGTTCGATCCCTCAGTACCGCAGAAAAAGCCAGAAGCGGCGCTGTGGCTCAAGTGGTAGAGCACTAGCCTTGAGCTGAAGAGCTAAGGGACAGCGCCCAGGCCTAGAGTTCAAGCCTATGACTGACAAAAAAAAAAGGGTCTCACAGACTTTCTTGCTGGGGCTGATTTTGAACCATGATCCTCAGATCTTAGCCTCCTTAGTAGGACTAAGCTAGGACTACAGGCGTGAGCTGCCGGTGCCCAGGTAGACATAATTTTAAATATTTAATAATCTTTATATTAAAAAGTTAATACAAGCAGATTGATTTTAGCTTGGTTGGTGTCTTTCTTGCTTGCTTTTTGTTTTATTACTTTTTTTATTTTAAAACAGGATCTCATGTGGCCCAAGATAGCTTCAAACTCACTACGTAGCCCAGGCTAAATTTGACCTTGTGCTTCTCATAAGTCAGCCTCATGAATGCTGGGATTACAGGCATGTGCCACCTGGCTGGCTAGAATTAATGTTAATGGTAAATTTTATTCAGTATATACAAAATACTAGTTTAGCATATAATTAGTATAAAAACGATGCATTAGGTATTTTATGTTCTTTTTATTTTTTTGGCCAGTCCTGGGGCTTGAACTCAGGGCATGGACTGTGCTCAAGGCTAGCACTCTACCACTTGAGGTACAGTGTCACTTCCAGCTTTTTCTGAGTAGTTTATTGGAGATAAGAGTTTCCTGGACTTCCTGCCCAGGTTGGCTTTGAATTGCGATCTTCAGATCTCAGCCTTATGAGTAGCTAGGATTACAGGCATGAGTCCCTGGTGCTTGGCTTATGTTGCATTATTTTTTGTACTACATATTTGCAATCGATTGTATAATTCAGTTTTAGTACCTCTCCATAAATTTTTGTTGGAGATATTTGGTCTGTACTTAAAGTTCATAAAATACACAGTTGGAAAAGTAGAATCCTATGCAGAACTTATTTTCTCATCGTTAAATCAGGCTTCAACTTTCAAGTTATTGATTTGAAGTCAGTCTCTCAGACATTTGAGCCTGATTTTAGGTATTGGGAACTAGAGCTGCCTGGACAGCTCTGCCCCCCACCTCCTACCCCCCACCTAGATTGGGTGTCCTGTGGAAGGCAGGAGCACAGGCTAAGGTTCTCCTGCAGCATCCACAGACACAAGAGCAGTCGGCCTCTGAGCTGAGCATGCCTCTGCATGCACACTCTCAGCTCTGTCTGACACTGATTTTGGCTTCTCAGACTCAGTAATTTAATAATCGTTCATGTGAAAGTGGTTAAAATTTAGCCAAAGTCCACTTGGCTTGACTGTGTTGCCCTTCCCCAACACACCCCAGACTAGGGTGAGACTCTTCCTGTTGTCAGGTAATAATAGTGACTTACTTCAGAGTCTCCTTTTAGAATGTGTGTCTTTAAACACAGTTTGTTCCCTAGTATTTGTATGACAGCTAGCTAGAAAAAGTGTTTCTTATTTCTTAGCTGGCTTGGTGTCTTAGGCCTGTAATCTTAGCCACTTAGGAGGTAAAGAGTTAGAAGAACTCAGTGAAGGCCAGCTCTGGCACAAAACTGTCATGGCCCCATCTGAACTGGTGAGATGCTGAATGTGGTAGTGTGCGTCTGTCACCACCGTTACATGGGACATGAGTAAAACTATGGTCCCAGCTGGCCCACGTATAAATATGAGGCCCTATTTGAAAAATAAAAGCAAAAATGCTGGGGCATGGCTCAAGTGGAAGAGTGCCTGCCAGACAAGTGGGAAGCCTGAGCTCAAACCCTCCCTTCTGTCTGCAGAGTACTCCCGTTATCTCCATGCACACCTGGACACACCGCTCACTGAGTACAACGTTGACACGGACCTGCCAGGGAGCTTTAAAGACCACTGGGCCAAGACCCTGCCTTTCCTCCTGGAGGACTACGAGGAACAGCCGGGCCTGCAGCCTCACATAAAGTAAGTGCTCTGCGGGGCAGCTCTCCTCCTTCAGAACCAAGCTGTGAACCCACCCCCTGCTTCTTCCTTGTTGGTTTCTTCAAGAGGTCTCACTCTGAGGCCTGGCTGTCCTCAGACTTCAGCCCTCCTGCTCCATCTCCCATGCTGGGGCACAGGCTCTCATACTAAGATTTCTTGATTACTACATGACTTTCTGTTCATGTTTCACTGAATTTCTTTTGGGGTTTGTATATCTGTAACTTGTTTGTGCTTAAGGATCCCTGAAACTTACTTTGGTTTGTTATCTTTTCTTGGAGCCTTGTCTTCCCTTCTAATTTTGGACAGCCTTCAAACTTTAAATGTCCTTATGCTTACTAGTTGAAGGAGATTAATTGACATTTTATTTGACAGATTATTTGACATTTGAAAAGTTGAAAGTCACACTGCTGAAAAGCAGTGCTGTACATAAAACAAATATGCTAAAGGGCATTGTTATACAAAACCACTAGTGCCTTAATTTTGAGAAATCTAGAGTTTGACCATTTTGTTCTCTAGAAGGAAAGGGGAGCAGGGATTCAGACTAGAGTAGATAATGGAAAGGATTATCCTGGGTTAATGGAGTTAGCACCTTGGCCAAAGGTATGATGTGTGTGAACTTCAGCAGGCCGAAGTGAGCCCATGCATGATCTCTAGTGAGCTGGGTGAGTGAGTCCATGTATGAGATCTGGTTGTCTGGGTGAGCCTATGTGTGAACTTCGGCAGGCCAGGTATGAACATAAGAAACTGGAACCCCATACGAGCCAGCAAAAAACACCAACAACTTAGACCTGGAACTTCAGATGTTGAATTTATTGAATAGAAACGGAAAAATTCCAAGTAAGATAAATTATTTTTAAAATTATGAACAAGTCACAGACGTGAAAAAGAAACGAGATCATAAAAAATGACCAGATAGTTTTTTAAACTAAAAAGTTTTAGGAATAGGTCATTGGAATAAAGAATTTAGTAGATAGGCTAAATGCCGGGTAAGATGTGGTGGGAGAAATCCCACTCAGTTGGAAGGTAGGAGCTGCGCAGGGGCCTTCTGGGGAGTTGCATGGGGGCTGTCTGGGCCATCCCCACAGCTGCGCAGGGGCTGTCTGGGCCTTCAGTGGAGCTGCACAGGGGGCTGTCTGGGGAGCTGTGTGGGGGCTGTCCGGGGAGCTGCACAGGACTGCCTGGGGAGCTGTGCAGGGGGCTGTCTGGGGAGCTGCACAGGGGCTGTCCGGGCCGTCTGGGGAGCTGCGCATGGACTGTCCAGGCCGTCTGGGGAGCTGCACAGGGGGCTGTCCGGGCCATCCGGGGAGTTGCGTGAGTGCCGTCTGGGGAGCTGCGCAGGGGCTGTCCGGGGAGCTGTCCAGGGGCTGTTTGGACCATCCGGGGAACTGCATGGGGGCTGTCTGGGCTGTCCAGGGAGCTCCATAGGGACTGTGGGGGCCATGGGGAGCTGCGTGGGTGCCGTCTAGGGAGCTGCACAGGGGCATCTGGAGAGCTGCACACTGGCAAGGAGGCCAAGCGTAAGCAGAGACAAGACAGAGGAGAGGAGAAGTACTGACATGTCTGAAATCTCAGGGAAACAGAAAAACAGTTCTTCAAGAAACAATGACTAAGAATTTCCCAGAACTAATAAATCACATAAACCTACAGGTTTTTTCTTTTTCTTTTTTTGGTTCCAGTCATGGGGTCTGAACTCTGGGCCTGGGCACTGTCCCTCAGCTCTTCAGCTCAAGGCTAGCACTCTACCACTTTGAATCACAGCGCCACTTCCGGCTTTTTTTTTTCTGCTTACGTGGTGCTGAGGAATCGAACCCAGGGCCTCATGCATGCAAGGCAAGCGCTCTACCACTGAGCCACCTTCCCAGCCCAAACCTACAGGTTTTTAAAAATTATTCTTATAAAGTAGGTGTATAAAGACACAGGTTTGTTTGTTTTTTAAAGGCAGGGAAATGAATAGGAATCCATACCCGGACATATTAGAGGCAACTGAGAACTCCCATGAAAAGGAAGAAAACCTTACAAGTAGAAAGACAAGTCCTTATGGTTAGTAGTTGGACTTATTGTAACCTCAGTTTCACTACAGGAGGTCAGAATACAGCAGAATTTCACCTTCAACAACTTTCAACCTAGAACTATAAACACTCTTAAATATGTGAATATAGATATATACACATATGCATATATATATATATATGTGTGTGTGTGTGTGTGTGTGTTACAGTGTATAACTTCTGTATTCACGGATGATGTAAAAACATGAAAGAAAAAAAGTGAAAACAATCTAAAATCCACCAGAAAGCAGAGAGGGAGTAGGAAAGGGAGGACAAATAGGACAAATAAAGCCGGGCTCACGCTTATAATCCTAGCTACTCAGGAGGCTGAGATCTGAGGATTGTGATTCAAAGCCAGCCCGCACAGGAAAATCCATGAGATTCTCCAATTAAACATCAAAATTAATCTCCAATTAAACCCCAAAATGCTGGAAGTGGAGCATGGCTCCAATGGTAGAGCACTGGCCTTTAAGCAAAGAATGCAGGGACAGCACCTAGGCTCTGAGTTTAAGACCCAGGACTGAGGGGCCCATCAGCTGCACTGGACACTGATGAAAACAAACTAAGCAACTCAAGGGCTGTGATGGGAGGGAGGGAATGAGAGGGAAATAGGGAACATCTCACACAAAGGAAAGAAATGTACATATCACCCAGTGTGGAAGAAATGGCTATATTGTCAAAGCTCATAGAATTCACAGACTTGTTGTTGTTGGTCATGGGGGCTGAAACGTGGACCCTGGGTACTGTTCCTCAGCTCTTCAGCTCAAAGCTAGGGCCCTACCACTTGAGCCACAGTGCCACTTCTAGCTTTTTTCTGCTTATGTGGTGCTGAGTAATCGAACCTCCAGGGCCTCATGCATACGAGACAAGCACTCTACCACTGAGCCAACTTCCCAGCCCATAGAATTCACAAAGTTTATAGACCGCAATAATGATAATTTGCCTGGTGAAGCTTAGAATGTGTCTGTGACTTTAAGTGTCACTCTCTCACAATACTGTGAAATTTATGTAATCACTTAATCTCAAAAAATTATTCTTCAATAAAATACACAGGACTAGTACGGGATAGGGAGCAAGGGTGGAAGAAGAAGAATAAGAAAAATGGGTTTTAAAACGAATCCAGGTACTCTAGTAATCATAGTAAGCGGAGATGGCCTGGACAGTTAGAAGAGGCACAGCGGGAGCACCTGTCATCCCAATGCTCGGGAAGCCAAGGAATTGGAGGCCAGTCTGGGCGATATACAGTGAGAATATCAAAAACATAAAGATACAAGCTGGGTGCTGGTGGCTCAAGCCTGTCATCCCAGTTACTCAGGAGGCTGAGATCTGAGGATCGCAGTTTGAAACCACCCCGTGCAGGACAGTCTGTGAGACTTATCTCCAATTAACTGCCAGAAACCCAGAAGTGGAGCTGTGGCTGGAAATGGTAGAGCACTAGCCTTGAGCAAAATGCCTAGGGATAGCACCCAGGTCCTGAGGTCAAGCCCTACGACCATCAACAACAAAAAACTTACAGTTATACTAGAGTTTTTTGAAAGTCCAGCTTTTTATAAGAAGCACCTGTTGCCTGAGGTACAGAAAGGTTGTAAGTAGAGAATGGAAGCCTTAAACTTGGAGAGCTATAGCTGAAAGGATCCCGGTCTAGTTATGTTTACATCACTGGGCTTAAACACAGTCAGCAATAAAGATTCTTCCTACATAATGGCAAAGGTTCAAATCACCAAGAAGATTTAAATCTGAGTTTATGTATAACTAATAATTTTTAAACTTTATAGGAATACACAGAGAAGTAAAATTCAGTATAGAAGTATAAGGTTGTACTGAAAATGAGACTTTTGGGGGGGGGTGAACTCTGGGCCTGAGCACTGTCCCTCAGCTCTTCAGTTCAAGGCTAGTACTCTACCACTTGAGCCACAGCTCCACTTCCGGCTTTTTTCTTTTTGCTTATGTGGTACTGAGGAATCGAACTCAGGGCCTCGAGCATGCAAGGCAAGTACCACTGAGCCACTTTCCCAGCCCCTGTAGGATTTACATGTAAGTAAGATTATGCCATCACTGAAGCAAGTGGCTTTTCTTGTTTTTTTTTTTAAACTTTTTTTTTGGGGTGGGGAGTCCGGTCGTGGGCCTGAACTCTGGACCTGGGCACTGTCCCTCAGCTCTTCAGCTCAAGCCTAGCGCTCTACCACTTGAGCTACAGCACAACTTCTGGCTTTTTTCTTTTTGCTTATGTGGTGCTGAGCAATTGAACCCAGGGCCTCATGCATGCAAGGTAAGCACTCTACCACTGAGCCACCTTCCCAGTCCCGAGGCTTTTCTTGTTGATGGAAGAGTCCTCAACACAAAACCAAATTGGTTTCCCCAGAAACCAATGGATTCACTAGAAAGTGTATGAATACAATCACCAAGTATCCTATTAATGGGGAAAAACCACACAGTCATCTCGATACAGAAAAATGATTAGGGCTGGATGCTGGTGGTTCATGCCTGTAATCCTAGCTATTCAGGAGGCTGAGATCTGAGGATTGCGGTTCAAAGCCAACCTGGGCAGGAAAGTCCATGAGACTCTTATCTCCAATAAACCACTAGAAAACCGGAAGCGGTGCTGTGGCTCAAGTGGTAGAGCGCCCACCTTGAGCTGAAGAGCACAGGGACAACGCCTAAGCCCAGAGTTCAAGCCCCACGACCGAACAAAAAAAAAAAACAAAAACGATTAGTGGAAATAACTCACTCATACTTTGAAAACAAATGTAATTGAGAAAAACAAAGATATGTCCTTAGCCTGATAGTTGGCACCTGTCAAAAGCCTATAGAAGGATCATGGTAACCAACCAAGTGGTTGGGGCCTTTGCACCAGAAGGAGAAATAAGACAGAGACACTCTTTTTGGATAGCATAATCTTCTACAAAGGAGACATTCAAGTTGTAAATAAATGATAGGAAGTGATCAGTTTGAAGAGGTGATTTATTATAATCATACATGGATGAGTTGCAATTCTAAATACCAGAGACAAAGAAAAAAAATCTCACTTAAAATAGCAACAAAAAGTTAGAAACAAATGTCAGAGATTTTGTGCAAAACCTGTATGGTGATCATTGTTCCTAGTATTCTCAGCTACAGTGTTTCCAAACCCCAGCAGACACAGACTATAAACCTCTCTACATACCAGCATCCTGAGCCTCACAGACTGTAATCCTCTCCATATATAACAGTGCTTGGTAATTTATAAATTAGATATAGCAAGAAGTTAACAGTAGGCCAATAAAAATGGGAAGTTATAAAAGGACACTAATAAAACTGGGGTAAATGTAGTCTTTCTCAAAATAGTTTAATTGTCCTTTAAGTCTTAACAGTTCCATTACAATGGTTTTTGTCCTTTTTTATTAATTTGAGAGCTCTTATCTTTGTTTTTTATGGAGATACTTTTCTATGTCTCTTTGGCTTATCAGAATTAATCCTTGGGATTAATCCCGGCCTTTCAGGCGAACTCCTGCCCTTCTAGACCTACAGGAGTGGCTTCCTGTGCATTTCCCTCTGTTCTGAGCACCAACTTTCCTTCTGAGAGTTCAGAAGTTCGGTGCTTGCCACACATGGAGAGGTGTGTGACCAGCCTCAGGAAAAGTCCAGGGCTCCTGCTTTCTTCTGACCTTTGCCCCATGCCTTTTGCCCTTTGCTGTCTGCTTGGTGTTCTTTCCTAGTGAGAAATCACTGCACATGGGTGTGACTGGACTGGGTCCTCTGTGTTCTCCTGGTGAACCACTGAGCCTGAGCGTGGAGAACCCAAACCACATCATGAGTGACTGAGAGCAGAGCGTTGAGAGGCCAGTCTGGGGCTATATCGTGAGACACTACCTCAAAAAAAAAAAAAAAAGTAACAAAATAGAAAGAGCTGGGGGAAAAAAACAAAAGCATTAAGGTAAGGTAAGTCAGGCCCAGAGAAGACAAAGGTTGTGTGTGTTTCCTCATTTGTGGAAGTTAGAATTAGCTTACAAACTAATGAGTAAATACATTAGATGGTACGCAAGTATACACAAATGTACTAACTGAAATATGGCATATGCAAGAACTCAAAGAGTATAATTTTTAGAAAGTCAGAGTTCAAAATGAGCATCAGGAAATGGGTAATTGAAAGGGGTGGAATGGGGTCATGGGGAAAGGGCAGATGAATGAAGAGGAGCATGGGGGGAATTGAGTCAGGAGTTCAATGTACGTACTACAAAATTAGGGGTGAGGAAAGAAGGGGTAGGAGGGGAGGGATGGAGAAGATGGTGGAAGGGGTGACAGGGTCAAGATGCATTGTATGTATAAACTGCATAGTCAAAGGGCAGCTCCTTCAAACTACTTAAAGATGATTAGATATTCTTAAACTACTAAGTAATTCAAGAATTGAATCTTTTTTAAAATAATGTTTTTTGTTTGTGTATTTCTCTATTGTGTGTGCGCATGTATGCGTGTGCGCACGCACACACTGGTAATGGGGCATGAACTCAGGGCCTCACACCCTCCTTTAGCTTTTTCACTCAAGTCTGGTTTGTGTTCTCTCACTTGAGCCACAGCTCCATTTCCAATCCAGCTTTTTTTTTCCCCCACCCATTTTACTCTGATTCTGTGCCTTCCTCCTAGCTTCCCTCCTATGTGCATGTGTACATACCTTATGTGGGGTCAAGAAGAATTTGAATCAAGCATGTTAGCAGTGATGCAGTAGCTGTGTGCATGGCCCCAGATCATGCCTGTGCTCTCACAGCTGGGGCTGGGGACAGCAGTGGCTGGATGGGGGTCAGGGTGGACAGACTGCTGATGCTCTCACAGCCAGGGCTGGGGCTGGGGCAGAGTGGACAGACCTCTGATGCTCTCACAGGGCTGGGGTGGGGATGAACAAACCTCCGGGGTTTGATTGCTTGCTGACAAAGTTCACACAATTCTGTGGCATTCACAAGGAACATGCTGGTGAGTGCCTGTGGAGTTGCACACGAGCCAGCGTTGGTGGCTGCACAGATCCCTCCTCATGCTCTGTGGATGGATGCACAGCATTGCGTTGTCACATCTCTAGTGAAGGAAGCAGTTGCTCTCCTGATGGAATTGTACCATCGGCCGTGGCTTGAGACACTGCTGACTGTGCACGATGTTGTTGCAGGGATGTACTGCACCAGAACTTCGATAGCTACAAGCCTGAAGTCCAGGAACTGATCTGTGTAGCTGACCGATTGGGATCCCTGATGCAATATGAAACCCCCGGATTCCTGCCCAACAAGAGAATACACCGAGGTAGCCTGCAGACTGTCTAGTACTGGGAAGATTCTGGCAAAAGAGTGGAGTAGTTAAACTACATTCACTTTGTTTTTTCAATACCAGAGGTTGAATTCAGGCCCTGAGCTGTGCAAGCTGTGCCTCCAGCACTTTCCCTTTCAGATTTGGAATGCAGCCTAGCCAGCCCTGGACCTTAGTCCCCTTATTTACACTTCCTCATAGCTCAGATGGTAGGTACTTGCTACCACACCAGCTTGTTGGTTGTAGTGGAGTCTCCATTACTTTCTCCCTGGGTTTGCCCAAACTGCAATCCTCTGATCTCTGTCTTTAAGTTGCTAGGGTGACAAGTGTGAGCCACTTTGGCTTTCTGCCTTTGCATATTGTACCCACAGGAGTGGAATAGAAGAGGGCCAGGCAGTGAGGTATTTGATGGTCCTTTATTAATGCTAGCTGTAGAGGGCCCTTATCACTATGGCTGAACAAAGAACTGTGGTCCCCTAGGAAAGTTAAGGAAGGGAGGTGGGGGTTAAAGGCTGCAGCTGCATAAGTTACATATGTTCAGTTAGCTCCAGGGAACTTAGATACTAACCAGATAAGAAGACTGCTGGGGTGGGGGCACTTACCTCTTAATTTAAACAGAAGTAGCAATTTAGGGGCTCTTGACCTGGTTTAACAATTTGCTGGAGCGGGGATTCTTTTTTATCTCTAGATTTTTGCTTCTCGATTAACTCTGTTTTGCCCTTAGCTGTAAAACTGGGCTGGGGGAGGTTAGTCATTTCTTTCTCTTAGAGATCTGAAGTAGAGCTCTGTCAGCTGATTGGAGGAAGGAGGTGGGAGAAGGCCAACCCTGCTTGCTTCCATAGGCACACAGATTTCTGTAGCTGGTAACTGAGTCGTGGCTGGGAGCCGGTGGGAGTCAGTCCATGGCAGGCTCTGGTGAACTGTCTCTCTGCTTCTCCTCAGCCATGGGCCTGGCGGCACTAGAGGTCATGCAGGCTGTCCAGCGCACGTGGACCAACTCGAAGGTCCGCATGAGCGGGAAGACGCGGCTCATGCAGTGGAGGGACATGTTCGACATCGCTGTGAAGTGGAGGAGGTACCGGGTGGTGGGTGGTGTCTGCACCCTGTTTTGCTTTCTGATGATAGGTGCACAGGATTTTTTTCTCTTACTACCCTGTGTTCTTTGGAGTCATTGGTGTTTAGGAAGTGGCGGGCGTGTTGTTTTGTTGGCTGCTGTGGTTCAGAGGAAGTAGACTAGAGTTCTTCTTGCCATGACACCGCCCCCCCCCCCGCCCCCAGCACAGCTCTCCAGGCTGGCCTGCACTAGAAATCCAGACTGACTTCCTACCTGGTGCAGCCACAATGTCTGTGTACAGTGTGCTGGCTCATAGACTATTAAAAAAACAACCCCAGGGCCTTAAGTTTGCTAGGCAGGTGCTCCGCCAATTGAGCCACCCCCCTGTTCCTTTTCGCTCTCTTGATCTTTCAGGTAAAATCTTGCAGTTTGGCCTGGGGCTGCAGTCCTCATCCCCAGCTTCTGCAGTGGACTCCTCACCTTTGCAGAGACTTGCCCACAGTTTTTAAGTGCTGAACAGTTCTGGGCTTGGCTAGGTCTCAGACTTGACAAGCTGTGTTTTGCAGGATTGCTGACCCAGACCAGCCTGTGCTGTGGCTGGATCAGATGCCAGCGCGGAGTCTCAGTCGAGGCTTTAACAATCACATCAACCTAATCAGGTATGAACCTTTTGTGATTCTTTCCTGTCTTCACAGGAGTGTGCTCTGAGGTGGTTGTGACTGGCAGTGTAGCTTAGCTCTGCCCACAGGGCCCACTGCTTGTCCTCCCGGCCTAGCTCAGACAGAGCACAGCAGACTCCAAAGAGAACCTGATGCAGGGTGAGTGAGGATGGAGTTTACCTAGGGTGCCAGTTCTCACAGGGTCCTGAAATAGCTTAGGAGCTTACTGATGGAATGCAGTGTGCTTACATTATCCTGCTGAATCTGTTGTGTTGGGAGGCCCCCTTCCCCCCAATACATGAGCTGGTCCTCAGGAGAGCTAATGCTTTGCTCAGAAGTTCTGCAGGTTGGACACCTGGCCTAATCCTTGCCCCGTCTCCTGTCCATGAGCTTACCGCCCTCCAAACAAGTGGTGTATATGCACAGGAGAACATCAGCCTCAGGGAGACTCCGGTGACAAGCCTGTGCCTGTTTTTTTTTGTTGTTGTTGTTTGTTTTTGTTCTTTTGTCAGTCGTGGGGCTTGAACTCTGGGCCTGGGCACTATCCTTGAGCTCTTTAGTTCAAGGTGAGCCGTCTACCACTTCAGCCACAGTGCCACGTCTGGTTTTCTGGTGGTTGGTTAATTAGAGATAAGAGTCTCAGACTTTCCTGCCTGAGCTGGCTTTGAACTGTGATCCTCGGATCTCAGCTTCCTGAGTAGCTAGGATTATAGGTGTGAGCCACTGGTGCCCCAACTCTGAGTGGATTTTAAGTATAATTTTGAAATATGGTGTCATATCTAAAATGTATCCAATTCCAGAAACCTGAATCAAGAAAACATTCTCATGTAACAGTGACATTTAGATTGAAATTTGAATGGGAATATCATTTTTATGTTTTTTTTTAATTTCTAGGAAAAAAATATTTTCTCCCTTTAACTTGCATGTTCCTGTTTCTCATGGAATGATCTGTAGTCACTAGTAGTAACTAAGGGCTGCTGTCTGGTCAGATGCTTGCTATGCTTCTGGGTGGTAAGGTAGTAGCTATGTGGTAAAAGCTACAGGCCCTGACCCCAGGGAGCTCCTGGGGAGATAGAGGTAGAGAGCCACAGGCCCTGACCTCAGGGAGCTCCTGGGGAGGTAGAGGCAGCTAGCACGTAGAGTTCTAAGTGCAAGGTGAATACCCAAGGGAGCACACAGAAGGACACACAGAAAGGGGTGGCTGGTCCTTGTTCAGGGAATTCCTGGGCAGACAAAGGATGGACCCATGGGTAAATTCTACATAGCCAGAACACTGTGACTAGCTCAGTATGGCTGGTGGCAATTGTGGGAGTATCTGGAATGTGGCCAAAGACAGGCAGAAGCCAAAGCACGCATGAAGAGTCATGTGCTGTGCCCAGAGACATTGTCTGTAGGCAGTAGTGAGCAGGATGTAGGGTGGACAGATTTGTGTTTGGAGGCTCACAGGTGGCAAATGGAAGGAGCGTGTGTTGAGGGCTGGCAGCCTTGGCCCGTGTGGCAGGGAGTCGGCCAGGAAGAGATGGGTTCAGAAGGGAGGCGCGGGGCAGAAGCTCTGGCGGCAGTCAAGACGTGAGGGGCCGGTGATGTCTGAGGACCGTCCAGCCTAGGGAAGGTGGTATCCAAGGTCAGTCCAGTGCCTAGTCTAGGTTTGTTACCAGGGGCTAGATAGGGCCAGGACAAAAATAAAGTGTTTGTTTGAGGTGGAGCTGGAAGGATTGATGGGAGGGGCAGGTGCCCATGCTATGGTGTGGAGGCTGGAGGCCTGTCTAGAGGCTGGGAGCCAGTAGACATCCTGGGAGCAGTTGCCCGTTCCCTGTGGGTCTGCCGCTGCTGGACTCGAGGGTCTGGAGGCAGTCTAAACGTGAGCTGGGAGGGGCACTCAACACTTAGTGTAGGCAGCAGGAGGGCAGAGGGCACGAGGAAGCCAGGAGACCGCACTCAGTGCCCATGGCTGGGCACTCAGCAGGGGCAGGGAGACTTGTAAGCTCTGGAGGGTTTCCTTTCTGTGTAAATGAAATGTTGCCTTGAACATATTTCTTTATGAAACAGTTGCTTTTGGGTTTTGCTGTTGTTTAGCTCTGTTCTCTGGTTTGTTGGGACAGTCTTTCTGTCCACCATTACTGGCCTTCCTGCCTCAGCCTCCTGCAGACGTCTGCACCCAGCTTATCTCATTGTTTTTGCCTTACAGGGGTCAGGTGATTAACATGAGGTATCTGGAATATTTCGAGAAAATACTCCACTTTATTAAAGATAGAATTCTTGTTTATCATGGGTAAGCCTGCAGTTTTATACCTCACAGTAGTGGGTAGATTCGTACCTGTTGTCTTTATTTGTGAAAGTGGGAAACAGCCACTGACAAAACAAGCGAGGCCAGATGTTCCCAGAGTGTGTAGACTCATCCAGCCCCATTCCCTCCCGACCCCCCTCCTCACCAGCCACAGGACTCCCTGGCCCACAGAGGGCCACCGGCCTTATGGCTGAGCCATTTCTGGTCTCCTTTCCAGCCTGTCGCTTACCTGTTAGGGAGTTCAGCTCTGAAACGTGATGGTCAGTGGCAGGTACTTCCATTTGAGCACCTTTAACTTGTCCTTGCAGAGTTGGAATGTGAGGAGACACCAGTGCCCGCTGTCCATCCATGCTGCTTCTCCCTGCCCCTCTTCTGGGTGGACCACCTCTTCCTTAACTCTCGGGTTCAGCCACCTCACAGTTTAGAACCTTAGTTATGGCTGTTCAAACAGTTGTCCTTTGGTGTTCACCCGGGACTCTGGGACTCCAGCAGATGGCAGAATACCTAGATGTTCAGGCTTCTCCCATGAAGTGGCACTGTGTGCACAAAAGCTCTGCATGTCCCCTTGGCTCTTCACAACCTCTCTCGGTGCCCCGTGGCACTGACCATGTCAGTGTGGTGTAAATCATGGTTTTCTTTGTTGTCCGGGAATGGTGGTAAGAAGTCTGGATCCATTCGTAGACATGGTTTTTGTCTGTTTGTGATGTGGGTGTAGTCTGAGGAAAAAGCACCTCCTGTATTAAGGACAATTTGTGTAAACTAAAGCTGAGGGCATGGCCAGTTAATCACATTCTGGGTTAACCTGTTACCTTCTCTCATCTCTTCCCTCTCTCTTATAGCGCTAACAACCCCAAGGGGTTGCTAGAAGTTAGAGAAGCTCTGGAGAAGGTTCACAAAGTAGAAGACCTTCTTCCCATTATGAAAGTAAGTTTCTTACTAAAAACAAGAACTCATAGGGGCTGGGAAGGGGGCTCAGTGGTAGAGCGCTTGCCTTGCATGCATGAGGCCCTGGGTTCGATTCCACAGCACCACATAAGCAAAAAGAAAAAAGCCGGAAGTGGCGTTGTGGCTCAAGTGGTAGAGCGCTAGGCTTGAGCTGAAGAGCTGAGGGATAGCGCCCAGGCCCAGAGTTCAGGCCCCACGACCGGAACCAAAAAAAAAAAAGAACTCATAATTATGAAATGCATGTTTATTAAGCTATGTGTTTTGAACTTCATGAAGCCTGGTATATGAAATTGCTCACACACAATAAAGGTGATAATCAAAACAAAATGGAATACTGGCATCAGACTCAGCTGAACTGGGCTTCTGGCCATGGTCATGACTCACTGGCCTCTGTCTGTGCCCACTGCAAGCCTAAGCTGGACACAGGACACTGGATACATACTGGCTTCTGAGAGGAGGGGAGCAGCTTTGCTGTGGAGCTGGGCAGAGTCTACAAAGAGGAGGTGTGCGGGACGGGCAGGCCCCGAGGCTAGGGATGTGGTCCTTGTTGGCTGAGTGCCTGGCACTGAAAGCTGGCAGGCTCAGCAGAGTGGCTGCATATTGCCAAGTGGGGTGGCAGGTCAGCTGGGCTGGGAGATGGAGCGTGTAGCATTGCCAGGTGAGCAGGTCCTGTGAGCTCTAGGCGTTCTACACGTTCAGTGTCGGGCATAGGAGGACCTGTGGGGGGGGGGATCCGCAGGCAGGGGTGTGGGGAGGTCTGCAGGTGGGGTTCACATCTTGTCCTCAGTAGACATAGACTTACATCAGGCCAAAAGTGGTCTTGGCCTCGTCCCTTTGAAGGAAGGCATGATGATCCATCCTTTAGTTACTAAAGAGGTGAATGCTGACACTGGGCACCTGTGGCTCATGCCTGTCATCCTAGCTGCTCAGGAGGCTGAGAGCTGAGGATCGTGGTTCAAAGCCAGCCCAGGCAGGAAAGTCCATGAGATTCTTATCTCCAGTTAACCACCAGAAAACTAGAAGTGGCACTGTGGTTCAAGTGGTAGAGCGCTTGCCTTGAGCTGAAGAGCTGAGGGACATCACCCAGGCCCAGAGTTCAAGCCTCATGACTGACAAAAAAAGAAGGAGAAGAAGGAGAAGGACAAGAAGGAGGGAGGAGGGGGGGGGAAGGAGGAGGAGGAGAAGGGAGAAGAAGAGGAGTACTTAAGTGGTGAACGCATTCTCCTTTAAGAGGCTTTGTGAGTGGCGCCCCTGCCCTCTGTGAAGGACACCAGAAGGGGCTGCACTGGGTGTTAGTGCCTTGAGCTTGGAATCGAGCTTCCAGAACTAGGAAAGAATACATTTCTGCTCTTTATAAATTACCCAGTCTGCTATGGGTACAGCAATACAAAATAGTCTCAGACAGTGAAGAAATAGGGCTGAAACAGAAACATAAAACCAGTTACCAGGAATAGACATGGAGATGTCTGCTGTTGGAATTCATTCTTCTTATAAAGTCCTGGTCTATTTCATAAATGTCTTCAAGGCCTTAACACATGACACACTAGTGGAGACTCAGCAGAGCAGAGCCGGAAGGAACTAGAAGAAGCTGCGGAACTGAGGATGGAGTAGTCATCGGCCCCAGCATGCAGGCTTTGCTGCATTGCTGATGTAGACAGGCAGGCCCCACAGATGCTGCATGGAGACCCCATGGCTTCTCCTGGCATGGGTGGCCGGCGAGACCTGGATGGAGTCTCAGCAGTGTCTGTCCAGTGCAGCCATGGAAGGGTCGAGTCCCAGGCAGGGAGCCAGTCAGCACGGGGTGGCGTGTGTGTCGTGGAAAGCGTCGTGGTGGGTGTGGGTGGCGGGTCAGACAGGACAGCAGCTGTTTAGAGCAAGTTTTAGTGGCTGCACCCCCCAGTCTGGAGGAAGTGCCCACAGTAATGAGATACAAGTCTGGTTTCATGGTGTGTTCCTTAGCCAAAGAATATAACAAGTCTTACATGGCATATTTATTATGAACAAATTTTACCTAGTAAAGTACATAGATTAATTTCCCAAGTTATTATATGCTAGATAAAGAAACAAGTTGGTAGCAGTGGGAAAGAATTAATAGCTACAGGTATTCAGAAACAGGACCAAGGATTATAATTTCAAAGCCAATCCAGGCAAAGCTGGCAAATCCTTCATTTCACATACAAACATATTAAAAGTAGAAGTTGGGGTGTGTTTCAAAAGATAGAGTATTTGGCTAGCAAGTGTCCTGGGCTCAGTTCCTAGTGAAAAAAAGAAAAGAAGTTGGGCATACCGGTACTCCTGCTCATGATACTGGCTTCTCAGGATACTGAGAACTGAGGACCACAGTTCAAAGCCAGCCCAGGCAGGAAAGACTGTGAGACTTATCTCCAACCAACCCCCAATAAAACAGAAGTGAAGCTGTGACTCAGAGTGGTAGAATGATAGCCTTAAGCACAAAAGCTCAGGGGACAGTGCCTAGACCTGAGTTCAAGCCCCATGTTCTAAAGAAAAAAAAAAAGAGAAAGGAGGAGGAAGGGAAGAGAAAGAATTCTCTCAACGGAACTATCAGATTAAAGGCTCGAATATCAGCCAGGTGCAGGTGGCTCACGCCTGTAATCCTAGCTACTCAGGAGGCTGAGATCTGAGGATCACGGTTCAAAGCCAGCCCAGGCAGAAAAGTCTGTTAATCTCCAATTAACCACCAGAAAACAGGAAGTCTCACTGTGGCTCAAGTGGGAGATCACTTGCCTTGAGCTGAAGAGCGCAGGGACAGTGCCCAGGCCTAGAGTTCAAGCCCTACGACCAACCAAAAAAAAAAAAAAAGACTCAAATGTCAAAATGCATGAGCTCTTAAACCAATGAATTTTCCAAGATACAATGTGAAAGATAAAAATTTGTAAACTATGAAAAAAGTAGAAAGTTTTAGAAGGAAACAAAAAATTTAAAGTGGAGGAATTAGTCAACAAAATAGTAGAGAAGTTGATAGAGCTGACCTGGGTCTGAGGACCGGAGAGGAGACAGCATGGAGCTGTCTCTTGTTTTGTGTAATTTTCACGACTAAAGGAACAACCAGGGTGAAGTCAGCACCACGGGCTATGCTATAGTTGGTTCATACAAGTAATATGGATTTTTTTCCCCCTTCAAAAGCAGTTTAATACCAAAACAAAGGATGGGTTCACTGTGAACACAAAAGTTCCCAGCCTCAAAGATCAAGGGAAGGACTACGATGGGTTCACGATCACCATCACGGGAGACAAGTATGTGGGCTGCATGAGGGTGAGGGGCAGCTGCCGGGGCTCAGGCGGTGTACTGCCTTTACTTCATCCTGAGATGGGGGTGTCGGGATTCCGTGTGCAGTGGCTGTGGTGCCTAGAGGTCCCGACCTCTTCTGTGCTTTGTCTGAGCCTGCTGCCTTCTGGGTAAACAGGCCCCAGAGGCTGTTGGCTGTCGTAGGGTGACAGCACCTCTGAGGCATTACAAGAGTGGAAAATGTGAGAAACACAAATGACCAAGTTGAGGTAGACGTCGTTTTCTTTAAAAAACAAGTCCCAGGACACACATTGCTTTGTAACCTGCTCTCCCCTACCTTAACATTTTCTTAGAGCATTTTTAGCATTACCTAGTATTCTATTGTATGGTTGTAGAATTTCTACTGCTGATTTGTCATTAACTGTTTAATGTATTTCCTATTGTTTTGCTCACAGATAATACAGTGTGCATTGCTACTCACTACTGTTTCACTTACTCTGAAATCCCTGGGATTCCCTATCCTTGGGGTCTCCATCACACCCATAGCATGTGGGACTGGAGGAGGGACGTGACAGCTGCCATGCCTGTGCGCGCCGGCGCCTCTCCTCCAGCCCCATGTCCTGCACTCCTGCTTTCCCTGCAGCGGCATCTTCCAGTTCCATGTCAAGACTTAAACACGAAGCCGGGTGCTGGTGGCTCACGCCTGTAATCCTAGCTACTCAGGAGGCTGAGATCTGAGGATCGAGGTTCAAAGCCAGCCCGGGCAGGAGAGACCGTGAGACTCCTATCTCCAATAAACCACTAGAAAACTGGAAGTGGCGCTGTAGCTCAAGTGGTAGAGTGCTCGCCTTGAGCTGAAGAGCTGAGGGACAGCGCGCAGGCCCAGAGTTCAAGCCCCACGATGGACAAAAAAAAAGACTTAAACACGCCATTTGGCAGATGTTGTGGACTGTCCTTGTCTTCAAGGCTCCCATCTCTGCCCACTCGACCTGGTAAAGTCCTTCCCCAATAAACGGTTTCCTGAAAGGAATTCTAAGGCGCAATACTTCATGTTCAGTTCACTCTCCCGCTTCTCACGTATTCAGGGCTGATATCCTCAGGTCAGATGCCGGGGCAGAAATGAATGTTTCTTTGCGCTGGAGCTTCTTCTGGATGCCTGCCCACTTTCCTCCTTGCTCTGGGCCTCGGGCCTGCTGACTGCCCATGTCCCCCTCCCACTGCCTGGACATTCCCAGCCCAGGTCCCCTGCCCCTCTGTTCACAACACACACTGGCTCCCAGCCACTCCCATAGCCTCATACAACATTTCCTACTTTGCCTAGACCTCTTTCCTGCTGGGACCTGGACCACATATCCCTGGTCTCACTGCCCCCTCCGGTGTCTGCCCTTGCTGCCCCATCCCATGTGTGAGCCACCTCTGCCCCTTCCTCATGTCTGTACCATGCTGAGCCATTATGCACCCAAGCCTGCTGTCATAATTTGCTTCAACAAAAGCAACAATGATGCTCTTCTGTATAGGCTCTAGGAACCAAGTGTGTTTTGCTAATGGCATTGAATATAAATGCTGATCAGATCAAGTTAGTGACCTTCCTAGAGCGTCAGGGGCCATGGTAGCTCTCAGAGCACCACCTTTCACATGCATCTCCTGCTGCTGACTTCCCTCATAGGCCCCGACTCCCAACTTTGAGTCGGTAGAGAAATGACTGAGAAAGCAGTGAATGAGCATAGGAGCTTACCTTGCCCTTTGGTTTCTCAGCTCAGTGTGGCTGCTGCCCCCTGTACCGACTTAAGCTCTTCAAGTGCGCACCGGTGGTCAGACCTGCTGTGAACACATGCACGCTGCCTGCTGAGACGGCAGCTGAAGCACATGTGTGGTGGATGCATTCCCAAGAGGCATTAAGTGTGTTAGGAGATGTCTGCATACTGATAGACCTCTCCCTCCCGCCCCTTCCCTTCCATGTTTCTCTAGACTGGCTAGTACATGCCTTTGATACTCCTGCTTGTGTTTTCAGAGTTGGCAATATCCTGTTCTCTGTAGAAACTCAAACCACAGAAGAAAGGACACAGTTGTATCATGCTGAAATAGATGCACTTTATAAAGATCTGACAGCCAAAGGAAAAGTATTGATTCTCTCATCAGAATTTGGGGTAGGTTTCATTTGTTCCCCAACACTTTCTACAAATGTCTCATGAGTGTTTTACATCTCCCATCCCTTAGTTGGCACTGGTAGCTCACACCTGTAATGCTAGCTACTCAGGAGGCTGAGATCTGAGGATCATTGTTCAAAGCCAGCCTGGACAGGAAAGTCCATCTCCAATTAATCACCAGAAAATCAGACGTGGTGTGCCTCAAGTGGTAGAGTGCTCTCCTTGAGCCGAAGAGCTCAGGGACAGTACTTAGGCCCAGAGTTCAAGCTCTATGACCAACACCCACCCCCCCCAAAAAAAAAAAAAACCCTCGATGAGATGTCTTATGGTTGAAGTCAGATTGAATTGTCTTGTAAATCACTCTTCTAGTATTGTTTTTCCAAAGCAAAAATACAAAATATGAGGTTTTTTTTCCCAAAGCAAAAACCAGATTTATTTTTTTCTTAGAGTTTCTTAAGTCCAGGCTTTGATAAGATGTAAATGAGGAAGTTGATCCACAGTGAAGATTGCCTGTGACTCTCCTTATTTTTTTCTCTCATTTTCTTCCCTCAGTCCTGGTTGCTGCTTCTAATCTAAGTTGGGCGCTGTCTGTACCCTTTTGTTAGAAAAAGAGCTGTGTCACAGAAGCGAGCGAGGGTGGGAAGAGGCATGCCTCTTCTGCTGAGTGACACTGTGTCTGTCACCCAGTGGGATGCTGGCTTCTGGCCTAGGCTGTAAGTTCACAAACCTTGTCCTTTTTCTCTAGGAGGCTGATGCTGTCTGCAACTTGATCTTATCGCTAGTTTACTACTTTTATAATTTAACACCTCTCTCTCGAGGATCTAGGTAAGTGATGTCCTGTTGTGAAGATTGCTAAGATTTACCATGTATTTTTGGGGGGGGCTACGCTTCTTGTTACGAATATCGGTACAAAAGTACACTAAGAGCCAGTGGCTCATTCTGTGATCCTGGCACTGGGAGGGAAAGGCAGAGGGTGGTGAGCTCCTGCCTGTAATCACAGCACTCACCTGTAATCCCACTTGAGAGGGAGAGGCAGAAGATGCTGAGCTCCAGGCCAGCCTGGGCTCCATGGTGAGACCCTGTCTACATCCCTCTACCCCCTAAATTTAGTGAAATAAGACCCTGCTAAAAATGATGTGGAGCCTTGTGCTCTAAAACCCACACCAAGAATGGTACCCTTGCCTGATACCATCAGGAGAGGTAGTGGTCTGACATGGGTGTGGAGGGGCATGGGGCACTAAGCCCTATGTGTGCCCTCCCCCCCCCCGTCCCCCTTAACCTGAATGGTGGCGCTGTGCATCTTCACTGTGGATAAATCCTTCTGCTGGGGTCAGCTGCTCTGGAGATGGGCTGCATCTGCGCCTGTTCTCGGGTGGGGCACCCCGCAGACCGGTCTCTGAACTTGGTGTTGTGGCTGAAATGACACGTGAACATAACTCTCTTAAATACAGCATCAATTTTGTTGCAGTGTTTAAGAAACATTGAAACATAGGAAATAACAAATGGCAGCCTACGACCTGTGAGGACCACTGTCAGCCACTTGTGGGCACCATCAGCCCCAGGCTGGGTCCCGGGCCAGTCCCCAGGACAACAACAACAACAACTAGTAATACTTCTTTTTTCTCAGAAAGATAATGTTGGAGACATTTATTCCCCCCCCTTTTTCTTATTTTACCAGTCCTGGGGCTTGAACTCAGGGACTGTGCACTGTCCCTGAGCTTCCTTAAGTTAGTAATTTTTTAATGGTAAAGTAGAAACTATTTAAAAACAAGCTGGATGCCGGTGGCTCATGCATGTAATCCTAGCTACTCAGGAGGCTTAGATCTGAGGATCGTGGTTCAAAGCCAGCCCGGGCAGGAAAGCCCGTGAGACTCCTATCTCCAATAAACCACTACAAAACTGGAAGTGGTGCTGTAGCTCAAGTGGTAGAGTACTCGCCTTGAGCTGAAGGGCTGAGGGACAGCACCCAGGCCCAGAGTTCAAGTCCCATGGCCGACAAAAAAAAAAAAGAAAAAAAGGAAAGAAAATATTTAAAAACAAAACAAAAGTCTTAGACGTAGCTAAACATTTAATGTTAATCCAAAGAGGCCTTCCATGGAGTTTTGTCTCACAATGATGTCTGGGTGGTGAGGACCAGGGCCGACAGCACATGTTCTATTTGCAGTGTCATCGCCTACTCCGTCATTGTGGGCGCACTGATGGCCAGTGGCAAGGAAGTGGCGGGCAGGATCCCCAAGGGGAAGGTATGTGCTCCCAACAAAGGGCACCTGGCCAGGGTTGTGGGAGACCAGCAGGAGCAAGAGGGGTCCTGGTGGGGTCACAGGAGGGGCACCATGGGGATGTGTGGCCCATTCCAGCCGTGGCCTCCTCTCTGTCCTAATCCTATGGCTGACTGTGTGCTCTTTCAGCTTGTTGACTTCGAAGCTATGACAGCACCTGGCTCAGAGGCCTTCAGCAAAATTGCCAAAAGCTGGATGAACTTGAAAAGGTGCGTGCCAGTGGAGGTGGCGATGGGGGTCACTGGGACAGAGGCGCCTCTGACCCCATGCGAGGGCACTTACCCACCGGCGTTCACTGAGGCAGGCCACGCTGCTCATTCAGGGCAAACATAGCTCTGCTTCCAGATAGGGCCGGCCAAGGGTGAAGCACGGGTGGAAGCAAGCTTTTGAACTGCCACTCGCAGCTCTGGGCTCAGGTCCTATGCCGGCAAAGCGAATCCGGATGACCCTGAGCCGCAGCTTCACTCAACGGTGGTGCTTTAATGCAGCCCAGGCAGAGACGATGCATCACTGTAGACACCACGGCATTGCATGGGGCCACTGCCATACTGCAGGCCCTCCATTTCCCAGCTCCCAATCCCAGACTCTGAGCTGCAGCTCAACTAACCAGTGGCGCTTTATCGTGGCCTAGGCAGAGATGATGCATGCATGGTAGACCCCGCAGCATTGCATGGGGTCACTGCCATCCTGCACAGGCCTTCCGTTTCCCAGCTCCCAGTCCCAGACCCTGAGCTGCAGCTCCGTTCACCGGTGGCACTTTATTGCGGCCTAGGCAGAGATGATGCGTGCATGGTAGACACCGAGGCATTGCATGGGGTCACTGCCATCCTGCAGGCCCTCGTTTCCCAGCTCCCGAACCCAGAGCAGGGGAGATGGCATGAGACTGAACTCAATGGAGCAAGTGCAGCCGGGGCAGCATGACCTTGTGCCTGTGTCTGAAGCACCCTTGGTTTTGCCCTTTGTGACCTTCATCCACAGGAGCCACTCTTCTGATTCCATATTGGGTCCCATGTCTAGAGTGGAGGAGTTTGTGTCTGATAACCGCTCTCACCCAGTTTACTCCCATGAATTTTTCTTTGGGGTTTCTGGTTTGCATATTCTAGTAGTGCGATCTCAAGGTCAAAATTTGTACTTGGATTTACAGTACTTTTTTCAGTTGAGCACGGCCATTCCCGGTACATGTGGACATGCATCTTCCGGCTCAGGGCTTGTGGTCTGAGGGAAGGGCTCTGTCCATGCAGTGCAGGGGAGAGAGGTGAGTGTAGAGAAACGACGCAGGTGGGAAGGCGGCACTGTGATGAATGTGCCACCGCAGACACTCACAGGCCCTTTTGTGTTCTTTCCCAAGCCCCAGAGGAGGCTCTGAGCAGCTCAGGCCCCAGGTCACTGCTGGGTGCTGGACACCATGCCTGCTGCTTTTCCCCTGTTGTCCTGTGGGAGGCAGGCATGGTGTGTGGCACGGGAATGAATGTAACATGGGCTGTGCCCCGACTTGGTGAATACTGGTAATGTCCAGACCTTCTCCTTTTCTTTCAGTATCTCACCGTCTTACAAGACTCTCCCCTCCGTGTCAGAGACATTTCCCACGTTGAGGTCCATCATCGAGGTGCTAAACACAGACTCTGCCCCACGCTGCATCAAGAAACTCTAGTCATGCCGTGGATTTGTACATGAAGGCTCGGGCCTTGCGCTCATTAAGTTATTTTTTAAGACATGGAATTATTAAGAAATTAGGTCCTTTATTACTTTTGATACCAATTTTTGATAGGAATTGAATACTTGAAATCACTTTCCTTATTTCTCCAACCCATAACAGAAATCATGAAAATGGGTTTTGGGGGCAAGCTGCTTGAGCAGGAAGGGAAGTGTGTGCGCACTTCCTGTGGCATCCATGAGGCCACGGCGCTGTCCTGACAGTAAAATGTTTACTTCAGAAACCAAAAATTAGTGACTGAGCTGAGCAAAGCCAAGGAACAAGCCAGGAGTGTCTGCCTCCCCGGCTGGCGTTACACGCGCCTTCTGTGGGTGCGGTTTCACCTTGCAATGCCCGCACACAAGCTCTCGGTCTCGAGAACTGCAGATGTCCACAGGTGTTGGTGTGCCTCAGCTCACAGCCAGAACCACGGATTCTGCACACACAGTATTCGCCGTTGTCCTGACACTGAATTACCAAATCATGTATTTCTCTTCTTTGTTGGAAAAATAAATGTAAACCAAAGTGATTTCTGTAAATCACTGATTTGGGCACTGGGTTATCTATGTTTTTATTTTGTGAGCAAGTTTTGCATTCAGGTATAAGAACATTTAAAAAGTTGCTCATTCCTTTTTTTTAGGCAGGGTGAATGGCAGTTCATTAAACTGTTGCCAATTCCAAATCTCCTTCAGGCTTGGTTCCCTATTTTTGTTAAGCAAACGGCTCACTATGTGCTGCTGTCTGGTTTTCATTAGGCTAATGAGCCACTGGCAAGCTCCAGCCCTACACTGGGCTGCGCACGTGCCCTTCGGACTGATGCTGACCTGGGAACCGAGGCAGCTCGAGCCCTTGCCCCCAGCGCCCTGAGTGCCTCTCTGCAGACGTCTTCTCCTGAGTCCAAGGCTGCCGCTCAGAAAGCACTAGCATCTTCATTTCCAGTCTCCAGGCAGGACTGGGGACTCTGGGCCTTGGGGTTCAGCAAGCGGTGGCCGTGTGGTGCTGGGTACCCTGACCAGCTCTGCCGGAGCCCAGGCCTGCCCGGCCCTGCCAGCAACGCTATTTCATATACTGCCACGTGACAGCTGTGTGGCTCCCTGCATTCTCCATCCCGGGTGACCACACCAGCCCACCCTCTGCACGTTGGAGGAGCTCGGGGGACGGCCGAAGCTGAGGATGAGATGGTGAAGCTGGTGGCCTGCTTTGTGTTGGGGACTGAATTCAGAGCCTTGATGGGCCAGGCACACGATAGCATTGAGCCACATTCTCAGCCCAAGCCAGAGGCTCCCTGTCCGCTCTGGCCAAGGCACCTAGTCCTTGAGCAGGAGGTCCGCTCCGTCCCCAGGCTGGGCTCTGTGTCCAGCCTACAGGAGTGTGCACGGGATGTCTGAGGGGTGAGTGCAAGCAAGCTGAGCACTGGACAGATTAAACAAAGAGAAGCCAGTGGTTAAAGTTACCTGTAAGCATCTAACAGCCTGAAGCCCGTCTCCATGAGCCTGCTTAAAGGAAAAACTTAAGTGCTGCTGAGCCATGCCTCGGTTTCTCTGGTTTGGTGGTGGACTTGTCTTGCTAGAGCTGCTTCAGGCTATTTTCTCTCCCTCTGTACATGACCTCTCTCTTGCACTCATTCACTTTGGGTCTATTAAAAATATTTTGAAGCCGGGCACCGGTGGCTCACGCCTGTAATCCTAGCTACTCAGGAGGCTGAGATCTGAGGATCAAGGTTCAAAGCCAGCCCGGGCAGGAAAGTCTGTGAGACTCTTATCTTCAATAAACCACTGGAAAACTGGAAGTGGCACTGTGGCTCAAGCGGTAGACCGCTTGCCTTGAGCTGAAGAGTGCAGGGACAGTGCCCAAACCCAGCATTCAAGCCCCATGAACGTCAAAAAAAAATTTTTTTGAGCCAGGCGCGTGTAATCCTAGCTACTCAGGAGGCTAAGATCTGAGGATCACAGTTCAAAGCCAGCCCAGGCAGGAAACTCTGTGAGAACTGGGCACCAGTGGCTTATGTCTAATAATCCTAGTTACTCAGGAGGCTGAATATTGAGTTTTAGAACCAATCCAAGCTGAAAAATCTCCAGTTAACCAGCAAAAGCCAGATGTGGAGGTGCGGCTCCAGTGGTATAGTACCAGCAAAAAGGCTGAGGGGGAGGAAGAGGCCCGGGTTTAAAAAGAAATAGGAAATATCTGAAACAGAAGTATGGTTGTAAAGGTGCCTTGAGCCTGTGGGTCCAGGTGTAGAACTGTGGGCTGGGGACAGGTCCGCCTGCATGGTCCTCACCGGCACAGCCTGGCTGGGTGCCGGACACAGCCAGCTGGATGATAATGAGCTCATGGGTAAATTTGCTGTTTTCCACGTACTCACTGCTTCTCACTTAACACTGGCACAGAGTGGGCAGAGCACCTGGGGAAAGAAGAAAAGGAGAAAGGAAACAAATAGAGCTGGGACTCAAACCTAGGCAGTCTAACTGAAGAGCCTGAGTATTTTATAAACTTCAAGCTGCCTCTAGAGACTGAGGCAAAACACCAGAAGTCCCTTCCCAGGTGTGGCCTGTGGTCAGGCCCCAGGACTGGAGCTCAGCTGAGGCCTCCTGCCAGACCCCGCCCTCCCTGCGACTGCAGGGTCTCAGCACACTCCTGTCCAGTCAGGGTTGGAGCACTTGCTAACTTGGCAATGAAGGGATCCCTGTCTGCAAAATCCATGCTTCCTGCCAGGGGCTGCTTCCTGAGAGACCCCTGCCAGGACTGCAGCTGAGAGGGCCAGGGGAAGGCGGCCTCAAGGTTCACCTTTTTACTTGGTGTTGTTGAGTGTGCACCATGTAAATGGCTAGAAATCTCCAAAGCCCAGGGTGGGCAAAGGAGAATAGCATTCAATGAAGTTTGAGCTGAAGACGTAGCCTGGGAGGACACCAGTGGTCCATGTGATGGGCAGGGCTGGGCGGGGCTGCCTACCCACAGGCCCCGCCTTCCCTTCCCTGAAGGAGCACTTCGGGAAATCACATTCAACACTGAGCTCTAAGATGGACCATGGTGACCATCTCCTACCTCCTGGTGTGTGGCTATGGACTATGATCCACAGCAGCTCTGCTACCATAGGAGGGGAAGCAACTCCAGACCCACCCCAACTCCACACTCTCCTGCCAGCTGTGATACATGTGATCCCATTTCCACACCAGTTCTGACACCTCTACACACATGATCCCGTGTCCACACATCAGGTCTATGACACCTCTACACATGATCCCATGTCCACACACCAGCTCTGTGACACCTCTACACACATTATCCTGTGTCCACATACACCAGCTCTGTGACACCTCTACACCGTGATCCTTTTTCCACACACCAGCTCTGACACCTCTACACATGTCCACATGCCAGCTCTGTGACACCTCCACCCAGTGGCCCTGTGCCTACACATACTAGCTCTGAACACCTCTACACAGGTGACCCCATATCCACATGCTAGCTTTGTGATACATGCGCATGATCTCACATCTACATACACCAGCTCTGACAACTATAACACATGATCCCATGTCCACACGCCAGCTGTGACACTACCACACTTGCTGTGTCTGCCCTCATGTGGTGGGGTAAGAGGGTTTGAAACCACTGGTCCTACTCTGCCCGCGTGTCTTCATCAGTTTCTTAAAGGAATTCAGGGAAGGGGCACAGACATGCAGACTAGTACACCTCATTATATACTTAGCTTTTGGCTGATTTTGTTTCTCCCTGGAGCATTATATATATATATATATATATATATAT